TGAGGGATACTGTGACTAAGTGACCTATGTGCCTACTCTAGCACATAACTCTCCACAGACCACATGCCTTACCCCAGGGCCAACTAGAGACGTTGTGTCGCTGTAGGGAAAACGTCCTGCCACCACCACATATGCCCCCTGCCAGCCCCATCACCACAACTGTATCTGCCACCACAACACCTGTCACAATGCAGCACAGCACCAAGGGCAACAGGGCTGTGCTCGTGGCATTGGTGAAGCCCCGGTAGGCCTGGAAGCAGCACACCGGCAGGGGTGGGGCGGTCGGATCCGCCACCTGAAGCAAATGTCCTCGCTTCACCTGGCTGCCCCTGCTTATAGCCCCAGATCTGCATCCTTCTCGACTGTTTTTGCCTGGATAGAATGTATTTGCCAATGCTTTTAGCTTGCCTAGGTGGAAGATGGAGAGTGAATTTACATTGCTTGCTCCATCCAATTTTGCTCCTGGTCCTGCCCACCACTGGGCAAATGGCCACTGGAATGTGACTCTGGCTGACAAAGGTTCCCCACCCCTTCCTTAGTATATAATGCAATACAGATTCTTGTACGACCTATCTCAGAATGAAGAAGTTAGATCTAGCTCTGGCTTTCAGGTGTTGGGAAGCAAAAGAATTACGGGGGAAGGAAACTACATGCTTTTCCTTAAAAAAACGAGTATCTAATACATTGGTGGGAAACCCTGTGGCCCTTCAGATATTTCTGCCCATGGGCTATGTGGGCTGAGTATGACTGGACTTGGAGCCACTGGTTCTCAACTCCTGGCTTACGATGAACAGATACAAATAGTTGTGTCCAATCTGGTAGAAAGGAGAATGTGCAGCTCGTATCCAGGCACAAAGAAGGTTGCTTTGATCACAGTTCTCTCTTCTAGGAAGAGGAGATCTGGCTTTCTTTGCATCTGGTCCCTTTCTGTCAGCTTGCACTTTGTCTCAAAAGTTTTTTTAACCTCAGAAAAATCCACTTTTTCACATGTGCCTAGGATTGTGAGGAACTCTGTCTCAAATTAAGCTATGATTGTTCTCCTCTGAAGTTTCCCCTCTTTTTATCTGTCTTCCTTTTCAAGCATAACCTCCAAACAGCTGAATCTGAGCACCGTTAAAATGAATGCCCTTCATACATTTGTACTGATATGTTCCAGAAGGGCATTTAGGGAGCAATCCTATCTCACGGCTAGGGAACAGGGGGGCTGAATGGAATGAAAGGACCACCACGTTTGAAACCCTACTGTTCATGACAGCCAGGGCAAAGGGGGGAGGGGCAGAGCTTTCCAAACCGTGTGTTGTGACACATTAGTGTGTTGGCTGCAGTGTGTAGGTGTGCCATGCAAATGCTCCCCTCGCTCCTTCCGGGGCTGGAAAGGGGTTAATTTAACCTCCAGTTTGCCAGTAAAACTGTATTACTGTGTCGTGAAATGATGCATGTCTACAAAGTGTGTCACCAACATGAAAAGTTAGAAAAGCTCGGGGAGGTGATTCTATGAAATTTTTGCCGTGTGAGCTGCAGGCTGTTGCAGTAGAAAGGCGCAGATCAGGCCACTCGCTGGCTTAGGTTGTAGCAGACCCATGGCCAGCCCATCTCTACCCAACTGCCACTCCTTTTTTGAGGCTACAGCCGGTGGGAACACCATAAGCAATATCCTGTCAATAGTCCATGCTGTTGGTAGGCAAAGGGGGGAAGCTGTGGTGGTGGAGACCCACTCACCAGCAGAACCTAGTGGAAATAAGCCTCTACTACTCCTAACCCTACCATCACCTGCACAGATAAGGGGTTAAGATTGTTTTGTAAGTCTGAGTTGGTGGATGGGTTATGTTTTTGCTCCTGGTGGCGATTGTTGTAGGTCATATCTTCCACTTGAAGAACTCTGGGATTCACATGATTGGCATTGCCTACTCCTCCCTGTGAATTGGACAGAAATGCAAGGCCTTCTGATTCACTTTCAGAAATCATCACATTGTACCACTTCCAGTTCTGCAAAACCAGAACATCCTTAGGGATAAAATAATGTAAAAAGCTGCTAATATGTGTGCCCTTCAACAGCAACACAGATCTCAAGACAATGCACAGACACTAAGAAAAATGTATTTCACATTTAACAAGCTAATGTTTATCAGCTAGCTATCTACCAAAATCTACTTGTTCAGACAATATTTTCCCACTTAGGATGGTGACTATGAATAGGCCTCAAGCTCCCTTCCATCCTGACCCCACTGCAAGGAAAAGTAACTGAGCTGAGAATTACTACATTCAATCCTCTACCCCCAAAATCCTTGGAGACAAAGCTCACTCTTTAGAAAGTTTAATCTTGTAGGGTCTAATATCTCCCTGGTCAATTACTCATTTCTCCTCTTATTCAAGGAAGAAGAGCAGAAAATGCATACATTTGAGGTCTGCTTCTGATCTCCTCTTCCAAATGACAATCCTGGGGGGAATGGGAGTGAAATAAAATATACCGTCCAGAAAGACCCACAAAGACACCACAACTTTATGCTCTGTGGAAAAGATGCAGCTGTTTTAATGTGACCTAGCAACAAAATCAAACAGGAGTTCTTTACTTCCAGGATCATACAATGTAGAGAGATTATTTTAGGGAAGAACTTATACAGGAAGATGGGAACCCCATCTGAGAAAACCCTCTAAATGTAAAAATGTGTCTCTGCCTTGAAATTCTAAAAATAAAAGCAACAAGGGGAAGGAAGTGACTGAACACTGGGATAATATTGGTGTGTATGTGTGTGTGTGCAGTTGAGGAAATGGGAGTGATACAGCAAGGAAACTCCACCCAAGCATAATCACGTAGTAGAATTCATTTGAGAACCAAAAGGAGGGTGTACACAAGTCTGGATGTGAGGTTTTTTCCCCCCTAGAAAGTTTAAAAGGAGAGATCTTTTAAAGTAAGATGATAGTGATGAGTAAGTCTAACATGTGTTAAAATATGTTTTGTCTTTCTGTGACACCCTAAGAGCTTGGTGAAAGCTCTTTTAAAAGCCTAATTAGTATTGGTTTTATATTTTTAAGAGCAGTATAGTTAATACTTACTAGTATTTCCTATGGAGGCTGATACTTGTAAATTAAATGTTCTAGTTACAAGTGGAGAGACCATGATGCAGCAAAACAAATGATTTTGTAGATGTGCTGTATCACTTAACTGAAACTTGAATGGTTAGAACACACCCATATTCTAAAAAATGTCAGTATCAGATTCCATTGTTTTGCATCCTCACATTGATTATCATTCCCATTAGATCCCTATATAAAATTCTCAATTATCTGATTGCATTCTAAATCACATCAAAGCTCCTGGGAGAAGTTTCCATATGGACTTGCTTAAAGTACGACAGCAGCAAACTACTAATAATGTGTTAAAAGCTCAGAATAATTATTGGGGGGGGGCAAGATGCTACATGCAAATAGTATTGAGGCTAGATAGCAATCTCTTGCACAGCTGCAGTAGCTACTGTTATTTTTAGCATTTATTGACCATTTGTCTTTGTTAGAAAAGAACTCTTTAAAAAAATCTATGTCGGATTTATTAAGTGCCTTTGAAATTCATGAGGCTCAGAGGGGAATGCATATCCACCCTTACACACACACACACACACACACACACACACTTCTTAAGAATGCTGCCACTATTCAAACACACATTCTGAGCACAATCTTTTTAATGCCCAGTTTATTCAAAGCTCAGATACCACACAGAGGACATCTGCAGTAATGCAAGAAATTCCAAGTAAAGTTTATATGAGTAATTAAAAGGAGGGAGGGACTCACATACAAAAAAAGCACTGGAAACTACAGAGAGCTACATTTCTGAAAAAAGTAGAACAAGTGAGATATTTTATTATTTTGTGTGTCATGCATAATGTGCTAATTCTTCCATCTCTTACCTCAGCAGCACATGCTGACATTTTGACCAAGAAATGAGTCTCTTTCCTATCAGAAACCCTAACCCTAATCTGAGATGTGTGAGAAATGATGAGTTATTTAGTAACGAAAGGCCAGGCGCTGTGAACATGTTCAGATACTATTTTAACTTGTGATGATTACTCAGAGAGCAGAGGAACAATGTATTTTGCTCCTTTGAGGATATAAAAGTTTATTTATTTATGATTGCATTTATATTTCACCTAAGTCCAACTGCGTACAATAAGGCTTACCCAAAGTATGTGCAGAATCAGAGCTTCAGCAATCACCAACCCCAGCAGCCTTTCACCCAAACTGTCAGGTAACTGCAAAACTCACACCTGTTTTTATAATTTGGACTCATTAAACACGACTGCAAAAATGTTAGGACCTTTGCAAAGTGAATCGTTTTCCTGAGCTGGTTTCCAACCTTTAACTTCAATGTAGATTTTACAAATAAAAGCAACACCAAAGAAAGAAAGAAAGAAAGAAAGAAAGAAAGAAAGAAAGAAAGAAAGAAAGGATAACAAAAAAATGAACCTAAAGTGACACCTTCTGTTTAGTTGTGCAACTACATTTAATTATATGTACTTAAATTTAACAGCGTGATCAAGAACAAATCACACTAAAAATTCTTATTTGTGCCATCGTTCATAGCATGCATCTCTTTAAAAGATGTAACAGTGATTAAGTATTATTCTACTTTGCTTTATGTAGCCAATTTCATGGTAAAATAAAAACAAACTTCAACTGCACAAATGAGAAGGTTCTCCGGTTCTTAATAGGATACTATAATCAACATGTTGAGCAATACTAGCTATGTTAGCTATCTTGGGTAGTTTTATGGGATTGGTCAGGCAATAGATATATGCAAGTCAAAATGCATTTGAAGTAGCAAAGAGGTGAGGATCTTTAAACATAAGGGGTTTTAAGGTAGAAATACGAAACTCATGGCGACAGCAACTGATAGACATAGAATTCCATGGAACTCCCTCAAATAGCTGTAAAGGGGCCTGGAAAAAGAAGTCCGTTGCTTGAGGTCAATAGGTAAGTAGATAAATAAAAAATACCAAATTTACCTGGATCTAGGTGTGTGAAAGATCCAATGACAAAATCCAGCGTGGAAACAGCCAGTAGGAAGAGAAGCAGCAGCTGGAGACGGATTATCCATTTCACACCGGCAAGGTTAATTCCAAGCAAACCCAGCAGCACAGCAAGTGAGATGCCCCTTATGGCCCAAATGTTACTGAAGCCCAGGAGTTCAGAGATACTTTCAGAAAATCCAGTAATGTACATAGCACCTGCAACACACTGAAAAATACTTCCAGTTACGAAACTGCTAAGTAGTATGTTACAAGCCATATAAACTGGAGGATGCAGAAGATTTTACTTCTTTTACTTGGCCTGCAAGTGGACCCTTGTGGCAGCTTAAAATGTCAGGAAAACAAACAAACAATAAAATGGGTATAAAACAAACTCTGTAAATAAATAATAATAAAATATATAGCTTACAGTTATTTAAAAAACAATGTGGTACAGTGGTACCTCGGGTTAAGTACTTAATTCGTTCCGGAGGTGTGTTCTTAACTTGAAACTGTTCTTTACCTGAAGCACCACTTTAGCTAATGGGGCCTCCTGCTGCCGCCACGCCACTGGAGCACAATTTCTGTTCTCATCCTGAAGCAAAGTTCTTAACCTGAAGCACTATTTCTGGGTTGGCAGAGTCTGTAACCTGAAGCATATGTAACCTGAAGCGTATGTAACCCAAGGTACCACTGTATTTAGCAGCATAATGGCAGATAGAAAATGGCCCGGTCCAGTTAAGGCAGCCACCTGACTCAACCTTCTAATATCTGCTGGAATAAAATCATTTCCACTAATTTCCAGGAAGCAAGAACAGAACAAGCCTAGTAAAACCACATTGGGGAAGAAGTTGCAAAGAAAGGGAGTTAATGCTAAAAGAAGACTATCTTCAACAGGGGGTTTGGAACCTTTTTGGGTCCACAGGCCAGATCCTCACATGCCAAATTTGACAGGTGGGTGGGGCAGTGGCCTCTCAGCAAATAGGAGGCGCTGCTGGTCTCCTTCCAACCCTAGCGATGAACTGGCAGGACTGGCCTCTGGGGTCTCCTGGGCTCTACACCAGTCTTCAACCGTAGGGTAATATTGATTTGTTTCCTTGCCCTTGTTTCCACTCCCTGCTTCTTCCCTTGCCGATGGGGCAGGCACATTTTGTGGTCCGCCTCAGGCACAACCATCTATTGGGCCGGCCCTGAAATACTGTGTAAATATATCGTTACATAATTTTGTCGCTGGATGGCATTGGATTTAGTTGCATCTGAGTGGAGTTTCCTTTTGCTCTTTTTGAGAGAGGCAATAAAGTTCCTCTCTAGCTTCCTGACTGGCGTGTCCTCTATACCAGGCATACTACCAGACTTTTAGAAGACATCTGAAGGCAGCCCTGTTTAGGGAAGCTTTTAATGTTTGACAGACTATTGTACTTTAATATTCTGTTGGAAGCCGCCCAGACAGATAGGCGGAGTATAAATAATAAATAATAATAATAATTATTATTATTATTGGCAAACTCGGCCCTCCAGATGTTTTGGGACTACAACTCCCATCATCCCTGACCACTGGTCCTGTTAACTAGGGATTATGGGAGTTGTAGTCCCAAAACATCTTGGAGGGCCAAGTTTGCCTATGCCTGCTGTATACCAACCATGATAAGTACCTGTTTATTACATTGGCTCATTTTTTATAGTTATCACTCAGTGACCTCATTCAAATATCACCCTAAGCCAGCCTTCTCCCAACATGCCCCCTCCAGATGTTTTGGACTACAGCTCTCATCATCCCTGATCATTGGGCTCTGCTGACTGAGAATGATGGGAGACGTAGTCCAAAACAATCTAGAGGGCACCAAGATGGGGGAGGTTGCCCTAAACTAAAGATTGCATGATATGAATGAGTCAGAACAAGTCACAGTGAGCACTAAGCTTGCCTCCTCCTCCCCTCCCTAATCTCTCTCCTCCTCTGGTACAGCTACAGGGAGGAGTTTGGTTTTTCCTTAACCACAGCTTGTCCACCATCCATACCAACAAAGTGTGGTTAAAGTTATCTGTGGTTTGTTTGACCTGTCATCCAATTTGAATAGCTATACTTGGACCTTCTAAAAGCTAGAAATAATAACTGCTGTCATGTAGTGAATGAGTTCAGTGAATGAGGCCAGGATGGAACTTTTCTGTCAAAAGACTCAAGCTACAGACAAACTGCCATCACCTTAGGAATCTCTACTTCAAAATGATGTCTACATTGATGGAATATAGTTCATAGGCACCATGTTCCTCGAGCTGGTTCCTTGCCCAGAGGCTTTTGCTGAACTAAAATTAACAAATCACAAGTGCCAAACTGGATAATTCCAAAGATTTTAAAAGCTTGTAGCAAGCTGGTCAAGTATTTCTTAAACAGAAACTGTAAGTGTGAATAAGTGGGAAAGGCAACCTAAAACACAATCACAAGTATAAATGAAGGAATGATGTAATAGTATGTAATTACTATTATATCACTAATCACTAATGAATTAAAATAAGAATGATTTTTATAATCACATAATCATGACACAAAATCATTTCTTCATATAGCTGGTCAGGGCAGTTTGATTGGAGTCACAAAGTGGTCTTGATTTATTTATTTTACTGTATAGTGATTTTCAGCTGTCTTGAGTATCAATGTCATACTTGGGTAATTCCAAAGCGCTCCTGGCCTAAATTTGGTTCTAAGCTCTTAAAATACCTCACAAGCAAGTAACAAATGTGGCAGTGAAAATAAACGTTAAGCCATCTAAATTCCTCCCCAGCAGCCCCCAAATCTTGGGAGCCACATTTCCCTTTGAGGCGTTTGTTTAGCTCTCCAGCACAGCAAATGGCATCCAGAATTTGGACTTCCGTTAAAAAGCATTCCCGGTGCAGAACTTTGATCTAGCATTAGCCACGTTTCTGTTCCAATACAGACAATTACAAATCTATTCATAACATAACAGATACATAACAGAGTTTTCATAATTTCTGCAACTGCACAATTTCTACTGAATATTTAAAAAATCTTCTTCAGTAGCATAATATGAACTATGGGGTTTGTACATCATTGCCTCAAGCAAAAAAAGGGAAAGGTGACTGGAGACACACACACACACACACACACACGAAATAATTTATTTAAAAAGAAGTTGCATTCCTACCTGACCAAAAATATAGAGGAGGCCAATGGTCCCCCCAACTTGACCTCCAAGGACAGTAGAAATCATTGAGTAGACTCCGCCACTTCCAATGCTGCAGCGTTCACAAACCCCAATGCCAGACAAGACCGTTACTAAGGCCACCAGGATGACAATGGACACCAAAAACATGCCCATTAAAATACCGGTGTTTCCCTGAAATGGGAGGAAAAAGAAAAGGTTGAAACTTAAAAGAAGAAAGAGATGCATAGATTTCAAGGCACACACTTACCTTTGTTTTGCTTCCTACAAAAGAATGCAATGCATTTGTACTTCATCTAAGCCAAAGTGTCTTGCTTACCACTGTCAAAACGTTAGGAAGTTTACATGAAAGCAGTAGGAAGAAGGTATGTGGTTTCTTAAAACTTAACACTTGAACTCAACTCTACTGCAAATCACTCCAATGTCTAAAAAAAGCAACGTAGGAGGACTGGTATGCTGTACATGATTTTCTAAGAAATACAAGGTACCACAAGGCTCTGAGATGGGCTAACAGTGCTCATATCTTTCACAAAAACATGCGTATAAAATAACAACTGACAGGACTACTACATTAAGGGGATTTCTAATGCATCTCTTTACAGAAAGCAGAAGCCAGGCCTTATATTCTTCTGTTTTCACAGCTTTTAGCATATGAACCCAGTGAGAAGGCCTTCAAATGTTATCAGCATGCAGATGCTAAATAAAAAAGTGACCTCTTAAGCCTTTCTTCTGAGCTTTAGAGATCCCCATTGTGAACAAACTCCAGCATTTTGCTTCCTTCGTGCCATCTTCAAAGCACTCTGTGTGCTGCTCTTATCCCACAGGCATTGTGTTCCTTCCTGCTATGACTTCTCAAGGAAGGGCAGTGGCTTTTAGGTTCTCTTGCTTACTAATTATTGCTTTGTGCAGAACATGTTAGGTTATGCTTGTGCCATCTGCGTTTTCAAATAGCACCCACTGTCCTGGCTAGTTTGAAGATATTTAGTATACACAAAACTGATAGTGCTTTTGTTTTGTTTATTTTGCTTAACAATTGATGCAAAGCTAGAACAATGCTTTCCTTTTAGAAAAAATATAGCTGTGTAGGGAGGCTTGTATGCTAGCAGATGTCTGCATGCTGAGTCCTGGCTCCAGTTCCCCTTGGTCTGATGCAACTGCCATCAAAACCAGCAGGATTCCAAACTGAAACTGCACTTCATGAAGGCTACAGCATTCTGGATACATATCAAGCTAGTTAGAGGAGCAGGCGGGGAGAGATAGGAAATGAGATTCTGAGGAAACAGCAGCATCCAATTTCTAGTTTTGATGAGAAATGAATGAATGGGCCCTCAGATCAGATAATCACTACTAGTAAGTTTGTGATCGTGCAAGGAGAACAGAAGGTGCAAAAGGTGGCAGGAGGCTTCTACAGGTCCATGGGTAATGCCGGTGGACAAACAAAAGACTCCCTCAAGGCAAATCTAAAAAAAGTGGTATAAACACTGACAACTGGGAAACACTGGCCTGTGAGCGTTCCAATTGGAGGATAAAGGTAAAAGTAAAGTACCCATGACAGTTAAGTCTAGTCGCAGACAACTCTGGGGTTGCGGCGCTCATCTCGCTTTACAGGCTGAGGGAGCTGGCGTTTGTCCGCAGACAGTTTTTCCGGGTCATGTGGCCAGCATGAAAATAAATCTTTTTTTTTTTACTGCTGCCCTGGTACCTGTTTAATAATATCACTCAGTGGTTATATTCTGTCTCCTCCAGCCCATAGGCAGGTTCCAATGAAACCCACTGTAACCAGTTTGTTCCCCATCAACAGCTCAAGGACCACCTAGCCATTTGTTGCCTGTAGACTTTTATTATTTAATTATTATTTGATTTATTACCTGCCCTTCACACCAGCAGGTCCCAGGGTGGGTTACAATATGCATTCAAGGTCCTCTTGCTGTGCAATTTGTAAATATTTGTTTAAACTCTGTCTCTTTTTTAAAAAACCACAATTATTCATTTTAACAATTTAATTTTGAATTCTAATCCAATCCACTTTCCAAATCCAATCTTCACAATGCGTACACACATTCACACTCAGTAGAAATTTTACACCACCGAGGAGCTTTAGCAAAGGAGAAAGATTTTAAGCAGTTAAATAATAATTTTAAGCAGTTCCACTCTTCTAAGTTTAAAGTTCAGTTCATACATAACTGTTCATAATACAGTCGTACCTTGGAAGTTGAAGGGAATCCGTTCTGGAAATCCATTCGACTTCCGAAACATTCGGAAACCAAAGCGAGGCTTCTGATTGCCTGCAGGAAGCTGCCGCGGACGCCCCTTCGGACGTTCAGCTTCCAAAAGAATGTTTGAAAACCAGAACACTCACTTCCAGTTTTCAATCGTTCAGGAGCCGAAATGTTCAACTCCCAAGGCATTCGGGAGCTGAGCTACAACTGTATAACTGTTATCAACATATTTAAAAAACTCAATAAATTTGGTATAAGGACAATGAAAGAGGGTGTTTGTTCCAGCTGGGCAGAAGGAGTGCTGCTTACAACCATCACTTCAAACTACACTATGTTCTTTCAGTAGAGCTTGGAGGAACATGAGGGAGGACGTGTAACTATGGCAACATGTGTTACCTGAACATTTATATTTGATCAGCTTCCCTGTAAATAGCCCAAGCTACTATTTTATTTTATTTTGACATAAAGGGAGAGAAATTAACAAAGCCATAGGAACCCAAGTATATTTTAAGCAAGTAATTTTGTGGGCTTTAAAGAGCTGATAAAATAAAATTTAAATCTGGTCTACGCCAACAGGGATTGCAAGCTGTAGTCCTAAGGAGCTTACTTGGAACCAAGTCCTGCTGCAATCAGTTGAACTCAGATGAGCTCCAAGTGATTTCAGCAGAACTTACTTTGAAGTAACCAACAATCTGGAGAAGGCTGTAAGAGGACCAGAATGACTGCTGCACCAGCAAAAAGCCAGACCCAGTGGTATGGAGGGGGTACCTCAAATCAAAACAGGATGTTGCACAAGCAGTGCCTGTTTCTACCACAGGGCAAAGTGATTGGGGATGCGCCAACCTAAATACATTCTGGCCACCTAAGCACCCAGCTGTGCCAAGGTAGAACCACATGCTAAATATTTGGTAATAATAACAGGATTGTCAACCTAGCAGAATAGCTTTTGTGCCATGTGAAAGGCATAGTATGCTGCTGCTGCTGCTGCAGTCAGTATAAGCCACTTTCTGCTCCATCACAGCTTCCCACATTTCATCAGGAGGTGGAAGGATCAAAAGGTCATCTAGCCAAATCATCTTGTTACCACTTGTGACTAAAAAGGATCGATCCCTACAACAGTGTGGTCCAAACAGAGGCCGAGAGCACCAAATACTATGCAAATTTCTCCACATGATCAGAGAATGTAATCAGGTAGGCCTGCAGGGCAAAATGTTGACTTGACACCAAAGCACACTGGTTTAAAATTATTTGCTCTCATTATAGTCTTAACTGGGCTGGATTGGGCTGTTTGCCAGTGCTCCAGTTATATCTCCCACTTGCTTGCATGTGTGTGTGTTTTGTGTGTCAGCAAGCTGCTTAAAAAACAGACACACCATAGCTGGAGGTTGGATATGTGATGAAGACTATCCAAATGAATATGCATTCAGCAGCTATTACAGAAGAAATAGTGGAAAGACCTAAAGATGATAAGGCAAAAGAATGGTCGCCAGCACACAGGCTTTCAGTACTAATTTAAATGCAATACCTTAAGGACGTCAAAACCAATTCCAAGACAAATCAACAGCTGTATGGCTTGTCATTTAGTTCCCCATACTTACCACCAGCCACCCTGTCCTCAGAAAGAGAACTACTCCAAAGATATTGATCATACAAGAGGTAAAGACTCCGTCCCAAGTGCCAAAGAGCACTGGTTCCCAAACAAAAAGATGTATCTTCCACCAAGGTCTGTTGTGTGTCGGAGAACTCTGAATGAAAATAGGATTTAAAGGTTACGTTTGCTCTTTCATCTTGCTGGGCACCAGCAAAGAGGCACGAAGGGTCAGAAATGCATGCTTTAAGGATGACAGAAGTTGCCCCGTTCTTGCCCCCAGGGCAGTTAATTATACGGAAATGAGAATCCTAAATAAGTCACACTACTGTGGCATCTGCTTGGCCACTGTGACAACGGGTATCTAGAAGAGATGGGCCTTTGGTTTGATTCAGAAGAGCTCTTCATCTTATGAAGGGTAATCATGTTGCCTGAATCCCACCCTACTACAAACAAAACCCAGATCCCCTGTTGATTATAGCCTACAAAGACCTACTTATCAGCAACTAGATTCAGTGCCAATGTTTAAGAATGGAACCAGTAGGTAAGGGCAAAAGGTTCTGACACTTATCCCCCGCCCCTGCCATCAAAAAGGAAATCAAAAACAAAAAAACTGCTTGCCAGCAAGTCCTGTTTTCACAAATACATCTCTCTTTTTGCCTCAGTAGTAACCTTTTTAAATAATAATTTTTGTTGGTTTATTTTCAAATTTCTGACTGACACTATTTCAATTTATGCAAAACAAATCACAAGACATAAAACAGGGTTAAGGATTGTTATAAATAAATAATCTACATAAACAACTGGAAGAACTGATCAAATAAATTGACATGTTCTAATTAACAAGCATCTTCCTTGCAGGTTCCACATTACGCTTGACTCCCACCCAAACCAAAAGTTATTACTGTAAGGACAAACAAGAATATGCAGCAGGCAGGGCATAATCATGTAAACTAGCTCCTGTATACTCAATAAAGCCATGCCAAAGGACCACAAACTTCTCCTGCGTACTTTGTCCCCTGACAATTCTCATTTTTTGTGCGAGTTTCTCTCATAAGGCAATGTGCCACAGCTTTTGATACCAATATTCAAGGTCGTTAATTTGGAAATTATTCCAATGCTTTGTAGCAATTGTGGCTCTTGCTACAAAGTGATTAATTATCAATGATCTACGGAGACTTTCAAACAAATAAATCACAATTTATATACACACTGTAAACTGAACACAAATCTGGACTCTTCTCAGAGCATTACTCCCACCACCTTGCAATGTTTCAGAATTCAGAACTCAGCTGTAGGGAACCAGGGCTTTTGCAACATACCTGTTGTGCTTCTTCGTGAAAAAGTTCTTGCACATGTCCATCATTCCTCATGCTGGTGTTGCCCCTGGGCAAAAACGGTCTGCCATTCACATTAAAGCTGTAGTTGTAGGGTGATGCCATAATGATAATGGAAGCCACGGGGCAGGGAACAGAGCTCAGTGTCAGCTATTATGCTCAAGTGAGTTCCTGCACAGATGAGGCATGCACAGCAGAGGCTTCATTGCTGTACTTCACCTAGTTCAGAGAAAAGACAGAACAACTCACCATCACTTTCAGATGCAGGCACAACAGTTTTATCACAGATTCATAGAACAGAAGAGTTGGAAGGGATCCCAAGGGTCTTCTAGTCCAAACCCCTGCAATGCAGGAATCTCAACTACATCATACATGGCAGGTGGCCATTCTACCTCTGCTTAAAAGTCTCCAAGGAAGGAGAGCCCACCACCTCTCGCGGGAGTCTGATTCACTGTCAAACAGTTCTTCCTGCTGCTTAGTCGGAATCTCCTTTCTTGTAACTTGAATCCATTGGTTTGGTTCCTACCCTCCAGAGCAGGAGAAAACAAGCTTCCTCCATCTTCTGTGTGACATCCCTTTAGATATTTGAAGATGGCTATCTCAGTCTCCTCTTATCCAGGCTAAACATATGCAACTCTCTCAATTGTTCCTCTTAAGGCTTGGCTTCCAGACCCCTGATCAACTTGGTCTCCTACCTCTGCACACATTCCAAGCTTGTCAACATCCTTCTTAAACTGTGGTGCCTAGAACTGGACAGAGAACTCTAGGTGGGGTCTGACCAAGGCAGAATACACAGGGTAGGTGGGGACCAGAGACTGGAATAATAACATCAGACTGTAGCAAAAACATGCGTATCTTAGCAAGGATGACAAGGCAAATGCTAAACCTGGTTTTGCTTTTCCCAGGTGTGCTGTTTGATTTCCCTAACTCCTTACAATGCCAGCACTTTGACATCAGAAGCACCTAGAACTGAAAAGGAAAGGTTTGCTGGGCAGGCAACTCTTGTCTCATCCCTCCCCATGCTGGTTGGCGGGAGAAAGGGGAGAAATATAGTGCTCACAATGTCTATGAGAGGATGTAGAGGCAAGATGGGTCTTCGAGAATCCACATTGTGGTATACAAAAGCAGGATTATCTTCCTGACCTTCCCACTACAGACTCCCAATTCATCTGCACCTTGATGTTCAGAATCTAGCTGCCACCACTGTCCAAGCTCAGTAAGAAGCCACCCCTCCCCTATCCTGCTTTCCAGCTGCCTTCCTCATCCTTCCTCTCCTGGTAGACTATTGTGAAACAAGCCCAACCCTTCTTTGCTTTACCTGCCCAGGCACCTGTGATAGTAAAACAGAGGCAAATCCTTACACTACCACTCACTTCCTTTACCCTATGCAAATCGCCAGTTAAGCAGGCAATGAAGCAGTTAAGGTTCACTGATTCCCTGATGTTCATTCCCCTCCAGTGGAAGGAAGGAATCCTTGCCAGCTCTACCACTGGTTGCTGTTTTTCAGTGCAATTGAGGCTTCATGCAGCGGAAAAAGCAGCAGGGGGAATGAACTCTCAGCAACAAAGATAGAGCTTTTATGCAAATAGTCTTTGTCATAAAAGCCAGCAAGGAACATTAACATGGCAGGCGAGTAAAAAATGGTTTCTTAATAAGCTATTCCCGCCCGCCCCCAACAATTTCAAGAAGATTTGAAACAGAAATTTTATTTTGTGAGAGCTTCGGCATTATGTCCACATTTCGTTCTGCACCCAGTGCTTAAAGGAAGTAAATAATAATAATAATAATAATAATAATAATAATAATAATAATAATATTTTATTATTTATACCCCGCCCATCTGGCTGGGCCTCCCCAGCCACTCTGGGCGGCTTCCATAGAAACCAAAAATACAGTAAAATATCACACGTTAAAAACTTCCCTGAACAGGGCTGCCTTAAGATGTCTTCTGAATGTCAGGTAGTTGTTTATCGCTTTGACATCTGCTGGAAGGGCGTTCCACAGGGCGGGCGCCACTACCAAGAAGGCCCTCTGCCTGGTTCCCTGTAGCTTTGCTTCTCGCAATGAGGGAACCGCCAGAAGGCCCTCGGCGCTGGACCTCAGCGTCCGGGCAGAATGATGGGGGTGGAGACGCTCCTTCAGGTATATTGGACCGAGGCCGTTTAGGGCTTTAAAGGTCAGCACCAACACTTTGAATTGTGCTCGGAAACGTACTGGGAGCCAATGTAGGTCCTTCAAGACCGGTGTTATATGGTCTCGGCGGGCGCCCCCAGTCACCAGTCTAGCTGCCGCATTCTGGATTAGTTGTAGTTTCCGAGTCACCTTCAAAGGTAGCCCCACGTAGTGTGCATTGCAGTAGTCCAAGCGGGAGATAACCAGAGCATGCACCACTCTGGCGAGACAGTCCGCAGGCAGATAGGGTCTCAGCCTACGTACCAGATGGAGCTGGTAAACAGCTGCCCTGGACACAGATTTGACCTGTGCCTCCATGGACAGCTGTGAGTCCAAAATGACTCCCAGGCTGCGCACCTGGTCCTTCAGGGGCACTGTTACCCCATTCAGGACCAGGGAATCCTCCACACCTGCCCGCCTCCTGTCCCCCAAAAACAGTACTTCTGTCTTGTCAGGATTCAACCTCAATCTGTTAGCCACCATCCATCCTCCAACCGCCTCCAGACACTCACACAGGACCTTCACCGCCCTCACTGGTTCTGATTTAAAAGAGAGGTAGAGGTTTAAAACGAAAAGAAAACCTGTATTGCTGCTCATGCTAGTTTTAGTGCCCAAGTATAAAAAATGATTAAAAATGTGGTTTATAAGGAATCAGTTGGTGTTAAAGAAGAGGGTATCAACATGGTAAAGAAAAGACAAAAACATTTAGTTTGAGGGGCAGGTTCAAAAGTTAAAAGACACCAAAGACTGTATCTCCCTGAAGAATGTGGAAAATGACACCAAACAAACCACAAAACCCCTTAATGAAGAGATCAAAAACCCGTTTTCCATATTCAACTAGATTTAACCAAACAGTAAGGTGTAGCATTTGGATGTCACATTAAACTACAGTTCAGCTGTTATCATTGTTGTCATATTTATAGCCCACCTCCTCCTCCAAGAAGCTCAAGGTTGAATACACGATTCTCCCCCTCCCCATTTTATCCTCACCTGTCAGATAGGTTAGGCTGACAAACTGTGACTTGCCCAAGCAAAGTCACCCAGTCGGTTTCATGGCTGACTGTGGAATTGAACCCAGGTTTCCAAATGCTCTAGGGACGCGGGTGGTGCTGTAGTCTAAACCACTGAGACTCTTGGGCTTGCCAATCAGAAGGTCGGCAGTTCGAATTCCTGCAACAGGGTGAGCTCCTGTTGTTCGGTCCCAGCTCCCGCCAACCGAGCAGTTCAAAAGCATGCCAAAAAGTGCAAATAGATAAATAGGTACCACTCCGGTGGGAAGGTAAGCGGCGTTTCCATGCGCTGCTCTGGTTTCAGTGTTCCATTGATTGTGCCAGAAGCGGCTTAGTCATGCTGGCCACATAACCCGGAAAAACTGTCTGTGGACAAACACCAGCTCCCTCAGCCTGTAAAACGAGATGAGCACCGCAACCCCAGAGCTGTCTGCAACTGGACTTAACTGTCAGGGGTCCTTTACCTTTACCTTTTCCAAAGGCTCTAGTCCAACACATTAACCACTATACTATCCAAATGTGTGTCATCTGAATGTGGCCAATGAGCAGTAGCATTTTTCTAGAAAGAAGTGCCAGAGTTCACCATGAACTTCTCCCTTGTTCTCTTAGAATAGCAATGGCACCCACCTGATAGGTGCCAAAGCTGAGCTCCTGTGAGCTCCAGCTAAAAAAAAGCCTTGCCAAGGAGTAATTAGTCAGTGACAGGGTTATTTCACAGAGGCTGTCAGCCTGGTTTTATAAGCATTTACTCAATGGGACTGACTTCCATATAAGTGTGGATAGGACTGAACACCGAGCGATTCTGCCTGAGTATTTGAGACACTCTTGTGTTTGTAGATAACGGCAACATTCCAAGTTTTCCTTTTCTATAGAAAGATCCTTTTCTTACAGAGCGATTCCAAGCCTTGATCTTGATGCTGGAAAGGGTTTAGGTGAGGCAGATGTGTTCCTCCATGGAGGCTCTGCTGTGGGGTGGGAGCCTCTACTGCTTCATGCCATACTTACAGGTTTCCCAGAGGCATCTGGTTGGCGACTGAGGAAAACTGTGCGCTGGAATAGATGGACCTAGCTGGAAACTTATTTATATCCTAAAACATGGGTAGGCAAACTAAGGCCCGGTGGTCAGATCCGGCCCAATTGCCTTCTAAATCCGGCCAGCAAACGGTCTGGGAATCAGCGTGTTTTTACACGAGTAGAATGTGTCCTTTTATTTAAAATGCCTGTCAGTGTTATTTGTGGGGCCTGCTTGGTGTTTTTACATGAGTAGAATGTGTGCTTTTATTTAAAATGCATCTCTGGGTTATTTGTGGGGCAAAGGAATTCATTCTTTTTTTTTTCCTCTTCCAAAATATAGTCCGGCTCCCCACAAGGTCTGAGAGACAGTGGACCGGACCCCTGCTGAAAAAGTTTGCTGACCCCTGTCCTAAAACATGGATTGTTGTTTCAAAATGCTGCACTAATTCATTCTTCTCTTCTACCACTGGAGCATTCAATGCTGTATCCACTAACCAGAGCATAATTGAACTCAATGGGACTTACAGCTAAAATGGGACATACAGCTAAGATGATTGTGCCCAAATTATATCCATAGCAGATTCTGTGGCTTTTAGCATGCAAATATAAACTGAGTCTAAATCACATCTCTCCAAGACTAGTTGAGCCTTTTCTGTTCATTTAGCAACACCAAAATTTCTGCTTTTGCACCTTAGGATATTTTGTCAATAAACACAAAACTAAGGAAGCTCTCTAAGCTGAAATCACCGCTTTCAACAGATGGCTGGTTTATAAAAACAAAAAAGTTAATATATTTCTCGCTGTATGTACATGTGGTCTCACTGGCTTCCGATGGGGCTCCCTTTCCTATTAGAGAGGTTACTATTGGCTGTGCTATGTAAAGTGATCCAAGATCTCACATGACTTCATTTAAATAAAAGCCTTAACCAACATCTCACCTCATATCTTTAAAACACCTTATTTTTAGTACTCAAGGGGGAAACAATTTTTTAAAAAGTGAAAATGCATTACAGCAAATAAAACCTAATGCAGAACCTGTAAGTACACAAAATTCGTTTTACTGAGGTACCATAACTTCCCAGGCAGCCTCCATTTTTAAGCCAGGGTAATAGTAGAGGAAAGTCTCCTGTAGTATTATCTTATAGTGGCTTTTCTTTAATACTAAGCACTACAAGAGAACATTGTAAGCTGAGCTGCTGCATTGTAAGTTTTGAATACGGTATTTTATAAATCTGGGTATCTCTCTTGAATAATATCACCAATCAATGAATAGGACTTGATCCATTGATCACCTGCTCACACAAAGGAAAAGTCAATGATCTCCAATGAGTCTCTCATCATCTCCATCAGTAACCCTTTGCACCACATCCCACATCATCTCTAAAGTTCTCCAAACCTTTGGAACTGGCTTTATTTTTGGGGTGGGGAAAGCAGAGGGTTACAGAGGACTGTATTTGTATGTTGCTGTACGCAGGGGCGAAACTAGGCTTTATTTCATCCAGGTCAAAGACCCAGTTTGGCACCCCTCTATGCACATTTGCATACATACACACACAGGCTGGGAGCCTCAATGGTGCCACTCTGGGGACTTCACCCAGAGCAAAAAACCTGGCTAGCCCCCTGTAACTCTGGCTGTTCACACCAGAGAAGGGACAGGGATGTGTCTTCACCCAATGCGGATTACAGTACAGTGGTACCTCGGGTTACATACGCTTCAGGTTACAGACTCTGCCTACTCAGAAATATTACCTCAGGTTAAGAACTTTGCTTCAGGATGAGAACAGAAATCGTGCAGCGGCGGCGCAGCGGCAGCAGCAGGAAGCCCTATTAGCTAAAGTGTTGCTTCAGGTTAAGAACAGTTTTAGGTTAAGAACAGACCTCCAGAAGGAATTAAGTTCTTAACCCGAGGTACCACTGTACATGTTTGGTTTCCTGGTGCAACCTGGCAACCTCGACCGTAAACTCCTATCCCATAAAGCTGTCATCTGCGCATGTGCAAGGGCTGTCCCAAATGTGAGCACCTCATCTTAACTACTATGTGAATTTGGCCTACGTTTTTTAAAAAAGGGAGCTTATCTGAGGGAAAGTGCATCAAAGAGAAGCATTTCTACAGGATACCTATGGACTAGGACTAACCGGATGAGCACACCAGCAGTGGGAACACATTGGAGCTGGACTAAAGCCTAAAGCGCACACAGCCTCTGCCTTTGCTGCCTCGTTCCACGCATTTTTCACTCAAATTAGCAGGGATTCACTACTTGTTCTTTTTCCCGCGGGGCTCCTGCGTCAGTAATGGCCGAAATCCAGTATCCACACAAACACACACCCCCCCCGAAAAAAAATTCCTGAATCTTTATGCTAAGCAAAGCGCTGCACGTCGAAGTGGTGTCCTCGTTCACGCAGCTGTTCCAAAGCTCTGGAGCCCTGCCTAAAAGGTGAGGGGCGCCGGCGGCACCTCGTTTAGCATGCCATCACCTTGACGCGTGTGATATTTTCTTATAACCCCCCCCCCCCATTAATGAAATCCTCTTTTTCCAATGCAACTTTTAAATACATACTTTAAACATAGCATTATGCCAATAAATATGCAGTTCCAAAATAGGAAAGAGCATAACGAGGCTTTTGTACGTTCTGAGCGAGGAAGCCTAACAGCTGCGGGTGTTTGAGCGCGACAGGCGCCGCGATGGGGAAAGGCGGGAAACGCTGGGGTCTCTTCCACGCGCCTTTTGACTCCCGAGAGCAGCCCTTGGGGCGGGTGCGGGCGGGGCTCACTTGGGCGGGTTTCCCTCCCGAGCTGACGAGGCCTGCCTCGCGCCCGGGCCTGCCCACACTTCCACGTTCACGGCGCCCCGCCGTAGGAGTTTCCCGGATCCGGGAGGCACCTGTTGCGACCGCCGCCTCAGCTGCCTGCTTGCTTTCTCACGGCATCCGGGCGGGGCCGCTTGCAGCCTGCTCGTGAACTGGAGAAAACCTGCTGCTTCGCGTCCCTTGCGAGCGCCGCCCCGCCGTCGGTGAAAAACAGTATTATAGCGGCTGCCGGGTTCTTTCAGGGCGACTCCTGACTAGCCTCCTCAGTTTGCCCCGGATCCTTTGGACTGCTGGAATTCAGCCTGAATTCGCGCAGCTTCGAGAGCACAAAGTCCCAGGCATCTCTAAGAATGTCCCCTGTCAGAAACCCGGGAGAGCAGCTGCCAGTCAGTGTAGACATTAGTGAGCTTCCTGAGGACCTCCCCACTGCCTCCTGAGGGTGCGCTCTTGCGCGCTCTCTCTCTCACACAGACACCTTGCAGCACAGCGTTGCTTGAATTTATCCAGCCTGGGGGATCCGCTGGATACTTACCTTGTTTCTTCTCGGCCTCCAAGAGCGAAGGATGCAGCTCCCCCCTCCGCCCCGCCGCCTTCCAGTCAGAACCTTTGCGATCAAGTCTTACTGGACAGCTGGGACGGACAAGCCACCCAGGTGCCACGTGGGCCGGACTGGGGGTGGCTGGGTGCAGGACAGGAAGGGATATTCCCACGTCAGGATGTTTGCTTTTCTTTTGGCCCTCCCACCTTTCGGGCTTTACAAAAAGGGTTTTAACTGAGTCGTTTGTTCTTGAGAATACGAGGGCGATAGCACACCCTCTCACCGGTGACATTATAGATCAGGATTTCTGGTGCGCCTAGATGTGTGCACATCTTGCTGGTTGCATCAGTTTTATTTGTGGGTGAAAAGGCTGCCCTCTAACTTTGGAATGAGGTTTTAGATATTTCGATAATCCTTTATATATAGCTCCGTGAGGACACAAAGCAACCCAGCCAGGGGGGTGTGGTATAAATAATTGTTGTTGTTACCAATTCTACTACAGTACTACTACTTTTAAAAGGGGACAAAAACCTTACTCCAGAAACAGGCTTTCGGTGGGATTTTTGGAGCTCTCAAATCACACACACACAAATATAATACTGTACTAAATACACAAGGCACTTTGTGTTCCTATGTTTTTTTCCCCATTTATAGAAAAATAATATTGGAGCACAATTAATTACCCAGCTGGTTTTTAAACCGCATACATCCTCTTAGCATTTACAATTCTTCTGTGGAAAAGAGAGGAAAAACTACTAAAATTAGCTCTGACCCCTGAAGCTTCCTCTTCATAAGAGGCCTGTCACAGTCGTTTATATTTAGTAGTTTTCTTCTCCTGTCTTAGCATAGCTTAATTTTTTTTTAAGTAGGAAGGGAAATCAAACGACGCAAGTGTCATATGTTGAATGAGCAAGAGTGCATGACAACGGAGCCAGATGAACTGGTTTATCAAGGCTAAACCAAAGAAAATACACAAAATCAACAGGATTCTGGCAAGCAGCTCTTTAAAAAAATGCTTCCTTTCATAATACATTGCATGCATTTTGGTGCACAAATACCAGAAAAATGAGATGAATGCCTCCCAATAGGGTTAGCTGCTTCCTAACAGAACCATATTTTTGTCCAAGGTCTAACAAATATTTTGTATTGCTGATGGTGGAATCAGGAGAGCATTTTCCATATTATAGTGCAAGAGGTCGTGGAAGAGAGAACATTTTATAGGTCATTCTATGGTGCATTCTCATCTGGTAACTTCCTGAGCTCTATACATCTGAAGTCCCATTGAGTTCATGCAATGCTTGGAGCCAAAGAGACCCAAGTTGCAGGAGGTCTCCAAGTGAAGTTTCGCCATAGACAGTGCTTTTTACTCATAATGCACATGAAGTGCTTTGACTGTATATAAAAAGTATTTTTACATTTGTTCATTTTTTCTTTCTAGAAAGATTCATGAGTCTAGGTTGTAAAACCCAATTTGGGCAGTGTAGCTTGGATGTGTGGTGGTTTACTAATGGGTTACCATCATTCTGAAAACCAGCACTTCACTGAATAATAATTCTGGTGAACCTAACAAGTAGACAGCAAATGTAATTTGTGGCTAGGAAATGCCGCAGCTGAACTATATAACAACATGCAATATTTTTAGGCCTCAAGTTGCCACAGCAACAGCCAAGCGGACTTGCCAAATCAGTGGGAACTTTCACAATAAGGTAACTGTTCCACAGGATCGTAGTCTTTGGCTGGTGAAAATGTAAGGCATGCAAAGACCGTCCATTTTATTCCTGTGCTGTAAAAAACATCAAAATTCAACATAAATTGTCAAAATGGAGGGAAAAATCTGAACTATGATCTTCAGCAGGGAAAGAACAATTTTAGTGTGTCATTAAAAGAAGAGCTATAGCTCAAAGTGAAAATGTAGCCCACTCAGACACTTAAATGTTCCTTTAAGGCAGGCTTCCTCAAAGGCTCTCCAGATATTATGACCTAAAACTCCCATGATCCCTAGCTAGCAGGACCAGTGGTCAGGCATGATGGGAACCGTAGTCTCAAAACATCTGGAGGGCCAAGTTTGAGGAATCCTGCTTTAAGGCTTTTTTCAAGGAGCCTTCAAAGCGGACTTTAATCCTAGTGGTATCTGTAATGGATTTGAATTGGTTTTATGTATGTTGGAGGGTTTGTGTATGTGTGTATTGATTTTAATTGTAGTTATATATGCAGATGTTTTAGCTGTTTTTAGTTTTATGTATGTTTCTACCACTTTGGGATGCCTCATGAGTAGTTATTCTGAATTGAATTATTTTTTATTATTCTATGAAAACTTCCATGTTTCTGATTAACCTTTAATAACACGCAACATTTATATGAATCTGATGTGTGTCAGATGTAGAATATTGCCTTTGTCACTACTGCTCATTTGCTGGCCCCCTCCCTCTTAGCCAAATTCCCACCCCTGGTAAAGGTTGCTGGGCCTTTTCTTTGCTCTTGTCACTGGTCACACGTTTTGAGAGGGCAGATGAACAGGCAGTGACAGCAAGGAAAAGAGCAGGAAACAGCAGCAAGCCAAGCCAAGCCTGAGAAAGTACAGCCTGCACTCAAAGCGAATGGGCTTGAAGGAACACAGCCTAGTAACCTGGGCAAAAAGCAGGTAGCTCCTGTGCACACCATGAAGGCCCTGCACCTGATGCACCCTGGAGGCAAACCCTTCCAGTGGGAGCAATCCAGAAGCCTGTGATTTATGGAGGCAAGTCAGAGGGGAATTTATCTGGTTCAGACCGACTTTATGTCCACTATATGCAATGGGTGCGATGGAGAGGATGACTTACTGCCAGCCTGCAGCCAGTGTGGATCAGCCCAGCTGGTTGAGCAGAATGTACCCTTTGATGAAGACTTTTATCATGGCCCTTAAATCAGCAGAGTAGGCCAAGGGCCATGTCAGAGTGGGCTAGGAACTAATGTAAAGGTAAAGGGACCCCTGACTGTTAGGTCCAGTCACGGACGACTCTGGGGTTGCGGCACTCATCTCGCTTTATTGGCCGAGGGAGCCTGCATACAGTTTCCGGGTCATGTGGCCAGCATGACTAAGCCGCTTCTGGCAAACCAGAGCAGCGCATGGAAATGCCGTTTACCTTCCCGCCAGAGCGGTACCTATTTATCTACTTGCACCTGATGTGCTTTCGAACTGCTAGGTTGGCAGGAGCAGGGACCGAGCAACGGGAGCTCACCCCGTCGCGGGGATTTGAACTGCCAACCTTCTGATCGGCAAGCCCTAGGCTCTGTGTTTAGAATTAGTGTAGAAGCAAAAAAAAAGGGGGGGGGAAGGATCCTCTGCAGATGTGTCGTGCAAGATGCCAATGAAGCAAAACAGAAGGCCCTGGCAGGGAATCACTTCACTAAAAGACTAGTTTTGTGTAGAAACTTTCATGTGATCTTACTGGGAATGTTCCTAGTTGTCTTTTGTTAGCTGTGGGATACATTTCATCCCAGGACACAGGGAACCACAGCTCATCGAAGGGAATGGCGTGGGGTGAACACAAGCTTTGGCTGGGGTATGTAACATTCTAATCACACACTTCACATCTGAGTAGATGAACTGTCAGTGGTAAAAGATTTAGTGGGGAAAGTGCTTTTTGCACTGCAAATGAGATTGTTGTTATGCTTGAAGAAGAGAACAGGGTAAATATTCAAACATACTGTAAACGGATTAATTTAGCCTGTGTTTTATTTATCCATTTGGGCAATGTATAATCCACTTGTCAGCCAAATGAATCCCAGAGTGGGAATGTGTGGTTTGATAGTGATTGTGGTGGCAATGGTTGTTTTAGAACTTGATGACTTCCCAGCATCAGGGGGTGGAGGAATAAATATTTTAGGCTTTTAACTTTTGTGTACTGTATTTATGGTGGCAGAGAAAATAAGAATCCAGTTAGCAGAATATGTGAATATGGCACACAGGCAAGAGTAGAGCTCCATGACCTTATCCACATCAATGCAATTCTAATTGTCTAGAGCACTGATCTTCAGTCTGGGGGTTGGGACTCAATAGTGGATTGCAGCCTGATCCACGGTGGGTTGCAACTGGAGCACTACCACCATGCAAGTATGTGGGGATAGCTTAAGAAATGGATCCCTAAGGTTGAAGATACCTGGTCTATAGCATTGGCTAAGTAATAGCGTACTGGAGAGATTCAGTCTGGGATGGCAAAAGGTACCATTGTTTTCACATGACAGCCATGTGTCAGGGACTGGAGCAAAATATTGTTAGCATAAATGTGGTAATTTTTTCACCCTAGAGGGGAAAAGCTACTGGTGAAGCTTTATTCCGAAAATTGCTAATTTCTCACAATGTATATATTTAAAATAAAAGGGCAGGCTAACAAAAAGTGTTTTCCAAGATGAACTGTAAGCTTTGTAAAACAGTAATCCCCCCCAACTGAGGACTTATTTTTAATGCACACTTTCAGCTGAAGACCCACTTATTAATTTTTTACCATATACCTGAATGGTGTTTGAGTTGCTATAGTGATCCACTTTAGGTGAGGCCTGGGACCTAAATTTACTTAGTGAAATAGTGTTATAAGTTTGGGCTGTCTTTTCTTTAAGAAGATGTATTTTAGCATTTGTGAACCTGTATAAAAATGAGGTTCGGGTTTTCTTGATTGTAATGTATGAGTGTCACTTTTCACATAAATTCGGGACCGTGTTTTTTATTTATATATATATTTTTTACAAGAATGAAAAGCTTGTAGGCACTTCTTTGCAATTAGTCAGTTGTGTTTTTAACCAGTTCCTGGTGATATGAGGCAGATGTTTATGGCATCCAATGGGAGCTTAATCATGATTTCCTCATGATGTGGAAATTGCAAGTCTTTTATACAAGGAAGGGAGAAAAAGCATGGTTGTTTCATATGCCATTAAGACAATTGGTCACTTTATAATGTGTGTATGCAGCGCTTTTGTGTGTGTGGTGGCACTCATTTATATCGAGTACCATGACTTTTTTGCTGTCTATTGCAGGCATTTTGTGCTGGCACCCACAGCACTTTTATCAAGTTATGAGTACGGGCACCTAATTTATTTTTTGCTAAAGAAAAGCACCATATACATACCCCCACATACACACACATACATACCCCCATAGAGACTGAAATAGGCAGTGATACTTTGCTATCTGCATATTCTGACAAAGATGATCCAAAGGAGGAGGAATCCAAGATAGGTATACATATAATGCTTTGTAAGGAAACAGAAAACTTTTCAAACAATTCACTGCTTCAGAAAAATCTGGAAAAATGGTTTTAATATTAAGTTGCCTTTTACAAGTGACAGTCACAATGGAATACTAATATTCTTCCTTCGAATCCCATAGAAACCATCAGTCCACTGACTGTCTTCCTAAAATAGGTAATAAAAGGTCTGCATCATCAATGAGATATGACAACAATCCAGGACCTGTTTGCTTCATTTGCAGGTCTTGGGGCTAAATATGCCCTTTAATGTCAGAAAGAATGGGAATACCATCAATATTCATTTGACAATCAGACCTGCCCGCCCTACCTCATAAGGAGCTGAAGCTCTTGGAAGTACAGTACTAGAAATGGTTATATCAAGCATTCTAGTTCACAGTGATGTCAAGTTTGGACCTGCCTTCAACACACAAGCCTTGACTGTAATTAAGATGGCATAGAACCAGGATTTACAGGTACCTGTTCATTACAGCAGTGAAATAAACATGGGCAGGGAGGGGAAACAGACAAGCAGCTATAAGAGATATGATTGAAACTAGTGGCATTTATAGGAAACATTGGGCATAGTATGCATTGTGAATTGAGTGTCCCACATACCAAATTAATTCTCAAGCTACAAGGTGCACAAAATCCATTTTACACATATTTAAAATAAGAGCAGATTTCTGAGAATATGCATTTGTACTTTGGACATTGTACCATTTGTACTTTTAAATTAAAATTCCCCTGCATTAGGTTATATACCAGTAATGTAGGACCTGCAAATCTTGAAGAGGACACCAATTTTAAAAGCAGCAGGAATTACAAGGGGCCTAGAGGTTAGACCAGGATTGTGATTCCTGGCAGAGACAGTCCTAGTTAAGATCAGGGTGGCCTAGCATGTGGCCCAAGGGTGGCATGTAGCCCTTGAGGCCTTTTTTGGCAGCCCTCAGCACATTTGTGCTGCCTTGCCAAAGCTGGCTAAGCAAGGTGCTGGGCTGTGGGAAGGTGTGAGATCTCTGACGGAGTCCTAGAGGCTTCCTACCGCCTTACCAAAGCCGAGTTAGCAGTTTCCCAGCTTTCAAAAGGAAATGGGGGGACTCTAGGACCCTGCCAGAGCCTCAGACCTCCTTCCCCAAGCCTTGCTTAAGTGGCTTTTGGAAAGCAGCATGAGGAGTGGAGTGAGGCATCAAAATTTGGCTTCACTCCCAGCCCCAGCCCCCACATGACAAGGCAGTGTGCAGTCCACAGGTTCTGTGTCAAAGTACTCCAGCGTACCCTCCGGGTATAGATGGTGCTTGGATCAGCAGGCTACAAAACAAACTTATTTAGATATCTAGGTGTAAATGAAACCCTCTTGGAAATATCATATGGAGGCAGTGAAATTAAAGGCACAGGAAACCATAGGAACATTGATGAAATTCTATTACAATAAGGGAAGGCAGGTTATTGCTACCAAATATCTTTAGGGTAGGTTCAAAGTGTTAACCCAGATGCTCTATGACATTGAAATCTGGAGCTCTGATTTGAACTCCATTAAAGTTTTGGAAACTGTGCAAAATACTTTTCTTCCAGAAGCCATACTCTCTATCCATCAGAAATATCAGCAGTTCTTCATTGAACATAATCTGGGTAGCCAACAATTAAGGCAAGAGTGGACTGTGCTTGCTCAGTTAAAGTATGCTAAAAGAATGCTACCATGCCTATTGTTTTCCTGATCTGTGCTATATGGAACCAGATGATAACCAACTAGAATGCAGCTTGCCAATGTTTTACACTAACATTATTTCCCAGAACTGAGCTCTGCTTTGACTTTGAATAAGTGTCATCCAATGGATTGGCTCTTTTGGATAGAATCCAGAAGGGACCTGCAACTAATTAGAAACACCACATTACCCCCTTGGGTATCCACTCTTGAGAACAGAGCGTTTTAGAGCTAGTTGTCTGATCAAACTTTCACCAGCTTCCTTAAGAAATGCCATTATTGAGCTGTTTCCAAGTGATGCCCACTGCAGTCTTGGATGGCTGCAACAAGGTCTCGTATGCAGAAAGACTTTGAATTGGTAGTCAACCACATGTAGAAGACATCACTCATTATCTGTTAGCCTGCCCCCTTTATACAGACACCCAAGCGATCGCTTGCTGAAACCTTTGCTTTCACAAGCAAGCAGGTGCAGCCCTGCAAAAATGGTTGTTTCTTTTGAGAATACTTTTGTAACACAGAGAGTGGTCCTGGCTGCTTTGAAGTTGACAGCCATTCATTTCCACTCATTTCTACATGTATAGCTTGTAAATGACAGATTTAGTAAAGAAGTAAAAATGTATATTGGTAGTGTGATACATAAGCACTATCCCAATCCATTCTGCCAATGCAAGCCCATTAGAGATGAAAATTTGGTAGTTTGTTCGCCTTCAGTTCTTCCTCCTTATCCAATGTAGAATTGGCCTTTTAAGTAATGTAACTGAGGTGTTAGCCGTAGACATTTTAATGCAAAATGAATATACCTTATAAAAAATGTAATGTGCATAAACAGTTCAAAGCTAGAGATGCCCTTTGAATACCCAGAGACTAATCATTGACTTATATCAAGAATGAAGCTGAATCTTCTGCTACATAAGAAATGTATGCATTCTTCAATTGTTGTAACTAAATTAACATGAAAAATCTCTTGTAAACCTTAATTCATAATGCAGAGTTCTGTATTTTTATTTTGCAGCAGCCAGAGCACACTGAGATTTCAGCCATTGCTTATACATTTAATAAGTTTTTTTAAAAAAACAAACCTGTCTTCGTGTACATTTTTCAATAGTTACTATAAACTCCAAATAAATTAACCATAAAGAAAAAGGTCAAAAAGTAGCAAATTGCACTCTGTTTCTTAAACAGATAAATCCCATTATTATTTGGGCAGAACTCCCTTTCCAGTATTGCAAAGGTCTTTGGGTACATGAAATAACACCCCTGTGCAGTAATGGGCATTGTTGCATGAAAATTATATTGGCTTTTTGTGTTTTTCTGCATCTCCCATACCTGCTATTTGAAACTCTTTCCAATACTAATTCTGTGAGAAGGCAGTGGATCTTGTTGAGCTCCACCTACACAACTCAGTGCTTGTGCCACTGTAGCTGAAGCATGGCACTGCTTGGAAGTACAAATCTGGCTCAAACGCACAGACCCCGTGAGCCCAGAACATTCAGATCTATAGAAAAGGGGAGCAAAACAAGAATGGTCTGTGAAATCCTTTTCAGTCCCAAAGGACATAAGCCCCTGAACAATAGAAGGAACCATTCCATCCATTCCCATGACTTTCGGTTCACAAAAGTGGTGAACCAAACTACTGGCCATATTACATGAACTGTGAGATCCTGGAATGAAGATGGCACTTTCTGGTCCAAAATACAGAGAGATATTGGCTGTGAGTACAGAAAGGTACGTGCATCTTCCTTAGACTAGAGTGCAAGTATCCACACAGCAATTTCTCAATGTATCTCACAAAAACCATTAAATATTCTGATGTTATGTCCATACACAACTACCACACAAACACATTATCATCACAATATTCCTGATTCCTCAGGAATCCTGCATTACCTAATTTATTTCAAATACAAAATAATTACACAAATTCATACTTTCAAGTTTCATACAAAAGCATCTATATTACTTATACACATTTTTAAATTAATGAAACTGGGAATTTAATTGCTTTTTAAAAAAAAAACAACCCAACACTCACAGTAAAATGGACAGATCACTTATATTTTTTAAAGTAATACTGTATGACCACTGAAATCTCCTTTACTGGTATTATAGGGGATTTTATGAACTGAAAGGCAAAGAAGGCGTAGGGATGCTGGGGGGAGGGGGAAATACCGTATCAGAAAATGAATTCCAGCAGCATTCTTCTGTTCTTTTTCTGCCCCTAATATTTTTTTAAAGTTGTGTATAAGTCCTGGATTTTCTACCAAACGTAAAATTTGTGGACTCATTTGCAAATCACACAATGTATCCTTAAAAAAAGAGCAGATCATCAGGTTTATTTGAATACCAAGGTCCTTTTCCTGACATTGTTAAAATAAAGATAAAACTTACAGAGACAGAATCCAGTATAATTAGTTTCCAACAATAAAATCTCCTTGAACACTGTTGCAAAATTCCTTCTACTGAAATGCTTCGCTACAATAATAAAAAGCATACATTACATATAAAAAGATACCAGTGTACTAAAAGTGACAGAAGTGAACTAGCAAATCCTTCAAAGCACATATTATATAAATGACTAGCATTTAAAAACATTTCTTCCTATAAAATGTAGGTCATATACATTTATAAATCGGCGATCTTTCCCCACCAAAGCAATGATAGTTTTCAAATAATTATGTTGCTCTGTACAGTCTGAAAGCATTGTTCAAACTTTTTGACTTGGTTTTGTTTTGCTTGAACTCCGGATAAAGCTCATCTCAGCAGCTGATAAATCCCTATGGCAAAATTATATCAAAATCAACCATGACTCAGTGTTCAACTGCAATGTGAATTATGAACAAGAACCACTTTTTGTATCACGTGAACCTGATTTATACCAAAACCATACTGGGATTTAAGGATTTAAAATTAATTTTCAAACTTATTCAATTGGTGTGGAAACTGGAGGAGCAAATCCTTATCCTTCCTTCAAAAATAAGGACACTAACTCATCTTGCAGAAGCGCATCTGAGCCATTAGTTTCATCATGAATGTGTGCACAGGTGCAGATCTAAGGCCTGCTCTCCCTGAAACTCAGATTGTGCTATGTAAACAATGTTATATACTACAAACCAAAAAAACAGTTGAATTTATTGATTAAAAACAATTAAGAATATCCATTAACTTAATCAAAGCTATTAACTCCCCAAACAGTTTTTGGAACTTTCCTTATGCTACTTGCAAAGTTAGCACTGTTAGGCATTATTGCTTACATACAGTACATCATATGCCTCCTGATATAAAGCAGTACTGTGATCTGTTTATATACAAGGTTCTTTTTTCCTTTTTTTAAAACAAGCTGTAAAAACATTACATACTTTACAGACAATACAAATTCCCACATTTGTACTCAAGTCTAACAAATGGAATGCATAACATTAATAAAACATCATAAAGGAAGACTGACAGTAAGTCCTTGATTGTCAAGACACATTTATATTTTATATATAAACTCTAACTGTGCAGAATCAAAGATTCAATCATAGGTACATCCTTATTTGATAACTCATATTTACAGAACAATATTGCATAAAAAAATAAAATAAACATTTACACTTTTTTGTCTTTTACCTTTCCATTCACTGGGGAAAAGAATGCAAGAAACTACTTTGAGAAAGGTTTGCTTGCTTCGGTTTGTGTTCGCTACCAGACTATCTCTCTCTTAAATTATTATTGAAACAATGATTTTATACAAGTATAGCAAAAGCAACTAGAAAATTTCCCTGAAACAAAGTTGTTTGGAAATAATGAAAGTTATTTTTTTAAAACATAATGGTTTTCATTCATTGCAATACTTTCACAGGACATGTTTTTGTTTTTTGTTTTGCAAAAGGAGTACTTAAATGTCCTACATATACCTAACAAACATGCACTTAACATAAAAGGAAAGCATCTCCAAAAGTCACAAGGCTTCCGTTGAGCAGAATTTAAGAAAACATAAAAATAGTTTGTTTTATTATGAATAATAACTGGAAAACTTACATTTGAATTTTTACCAACCAAAATACCCAGATCACTAACACATTTCTGCCTTCTAAAGCTCTGAACTATATTCTAATAGCTACTCCCCTGCAACTTGCGAAAGAGTCCAATGTCAACCCAACAAAATTTTAGGTTGCAATTTTACAAATACAAAGCAAGTTAATACTGAAATACTCAAACAGGCTGATCCTGGATCCATTTTAGATCTGTTTCAAATATTTACGAAATATGATACACACATCATAAAAATTAATCTAAAGAAACATGGAATATGCTGTATGTATCCAAGTGGAAATTTTTCAGGAAACAAGCCAGAAAAACTTGGAAATGAAATCAAACAGCTATACTAAAAATTCAGTAATTCACTAGTGACTTGAAAACCCATGTTTAAAATCACAAAATAAATAAGCAAACAAAAGCAGGCATATGACATTACAATGTATTTCATTCATTTTGACAACTGTGGTTTAGTTTGCAGTATTTGTACATAGGTTCTGCAATATGCTTGGTTAAAGTTATAGTCATACTTTCATAAGACCTTGACTACACGAGTTTACACCACTGAAGAAAAACAAGGAGAAATTATATTGTGTAGGGATTAGCATCCTCATTAATAATAATAAAACGTTCAAGCTTTCACTGTACTTTCTCTGAACTGCTCCTTCTCTCAAAAACCTTGTCCACCTACAATAGCTGGGAGTCTGTAATAATTCTCTTAAACTAATTTCAGAAAAGGCATGAAGAGGCGATCCATATAAATGAAAAACAAATCCTTCTAAACTTTTCTTCAGAAATAGAGTACACTGCAATACATGATGCGGTTTCTCTTCTGATAAATGGATTTATCATCTTTGATCAATTGTTTACTCTGAATAACTAAGACAAAGAGAAGGAAAAGGAGCTACTTCAGCTTTAAGCCCAAAAGTCAGTTCCTTCATTAACTTGCTTTATATTCAAAGTAAAAGGAACAGGAAATTAGTGTTAAAAGGGACACTCAGGCCCAGCAGTCACCCAAAATATGAGCCATTAAAAATTGAGAAAATTAAGCAGCACGTTTGCACTGAAGTCTAGTTTCAAAGAGTTTAAGTTAACTGAATCCAAACATAACATTGAGCTTAACAGGACTGTAGAACCATAGCAGAGATTTCCTAAATACACTTTAAAAAGCATTATTAAGAAAGTATTTCTATTAACACTGTCTCCTAGCATGTATATAATAGGTTTGTATTATAATTGACGAGGCTTAAGATATATCTGTGTCACTTTTTCTTCTTCTAAAAAGCAACTTAGGAACAGGTTTTTACATGATTCCTGGGGGCACCCTCAAGAGCCACAGGTGGAGGTTCTGCTCATTATATTCCATCACTTGCCAATGCCTCTCCTCAACTACAGCCTCTCATGTTCCCTGTAAGTCCCTCTAAAAATGTTGGAATGCTATAAAACAGCACTCCCTCTATGCAGTGCAAAGAGCAGCCACCAGAAGGGTAAATATGGAAATGCTTGGCCATGCACATTTGGATCCTAGCCACAGTTCCTTCCATTCCTCTCTGCTCACTTTTTCATAATGGACACTTTCAGAGAAGCATCCCCTTGTCTTCTCACTGTAGGGATTATATTCAACTTGTACCCCTCCACTCACAGATGGTTCTTTGATGAAGTCGGTGCTTCAATGAATGAAGAATGGGAAGGTCATTTCACTTATTTCATCTGAGTCCCCTCTGCCCTCCCACTAATCTCCTCCAGAGGGTTGGGGTCCCTTTGGAACAGCGTGGGAGGAGGACACGAGGGTTGCGAGAGAAAGGGGAGTTTGCAAAAAATTGCCTTCCTCACCCTTCAATTCACGGAAAGCTCTCCCGGAACAAAGAAACTCCCATGAGTGGAACACAAGATACAACCCATAGCCTTTACACCCTGGCCTTACTGTCTTGCCATATCTACATACACACACAGACTCTTAGCCATTCCCTCTAGATACTAAATGTGTACAACTCTCACTTGCCAGTCCTGTTTACTTCTCTGAACCACAACTGAATGTTAATTGTACAAATAGTGGTGCACTCAAACACTGGGCCACAAATGCTTAATTAAATTAAAATATGTTATGTACTAGCTGTGCTGGTGTGGGGCAGGAGACAAACTAAAAAGACCTAAAAAGTTCCATTATTTAGAAGTTTTCATGTGTGCTTATTTTGACTCAGTACCACGGTTGCATTTACTTACTGTACTATGAAATAAATCCTTGGACAACTTATGCGGAGTAATGGGATATAACAACACCCTCCTGTAAAATTAACCTGTTTGTGACCTATAGGAATAAACAAGGCATTTCATAACATATGCCTCTTGGCTACTGCAGTAGCTGCCTATGACTTTCACGTAGATTCTAAAATGGGTCCGAAATTGCACAGGTGAAACAAAGGAGAAGTGTGGCAATCAAAATTAGGAGTACCATTTTAATTAAAATAAGGTTTTTCTCTGGGAATTGAAATTTTGCTTTCCTTAAATTTGTATTATTAGGGCTATCTTTGAGAAGTGGTGAGCAGACCTGAAGCTGTAAAATAATACATGCACCCATCTCCCCTGCCTAAATGTTGAATATGGTTTTTTTGGGGGGGGGGGATGTATCTGCATTCCTGTCGCTCAGCCTTTAGGTAAAACACTGCCCGCAAGATTACCTTAAAGCAGCCCATTAGTGAATGTACAATATAATGAAAATAAAAGCTTCAGTTTTAAAAAAGATTATTATCCTGACATTTATGTTAAGTCGAAGCACAGCACGTTAAAACTGTATACAGAACTAATCATTGCACCACACAGTGTAACTCAAGACAGTCTACTATTAAAACAACCACAGGGGATAGGGATAAAGTTTGCAGTTAATTTATTTGTGAAATGCAGCAAAAGTTTGACCATTTATCTTTTGGTCACTGTTCTCAGTCACCAGCTCTAGTTAGTAAAACTGCAATGAAACTGTTCATGAAGATAACTCTTCTGTTGTTATGTAAGGTGATAATGATGCAGCCACATCAAACCTAAAGGTCTAAAATAGTTTTATTTTTGAGAAAGAAAGAAAAATGGAAAAGAATCTAAGTGCTCTAATGTTAATTATTGCAGATTTGTAGGCTGAAGTACAATTTAAACTCTTAAAACCTGGAGTTCACCATTCATATAAACATTATGGAAATGGGAATGTCATCTACAAAGCATTTTAGTTCAATCCTAACCATCTTGATACCTGTCATTTGGAGATAAAAACATAAAGAGTCATGTTTACCTTCAAAGGTACAAAGAAATATGCAATACTTCAGGAATGAAGTAAATGCATTAATAGTAAGTATTTTCCTTTTAAAGTACTTTTAATTGAATCAAACATTTAAATAGGGGAGTGCATCTAGAAAACATAATTACCTTTCTCTAAGTGTTGTAAAAGGAAATTCAAAGAAACCAAGAAGGAATATTATGCGTATTACTTTTTAAGAGAGTTGATAAAATGGATTTCCCCCCAGAATGCACTATAGTTGTCTAGCCATCATCTCCTGACATTAAAACTTTTAAGTTCATATTATCTGTACAGTCTATATTCATGTTCCCTGCTGAAGTGCAATGGCTTGACTAACTAACCAGGAAATTCCAAAATGAATAATCTCATAATTACCATTCTCCCCAAAATAATCAATGTTACCAAACTAAGAAATTATTACAGGAGAGACATCTTATCTGGGTTTTTTGGTTTCTTTTGTCTTGTATAAAATCTCAGCATAGCAAGCTCCTGATCTCCAGCAAGCAAATAACCATCTGCCTTTTCAGTGGACACCCACATATAAGGCAATTCAAAAAGAATGGTGACTAACCACACACACAAAAAGCAGTTGCCAATACTCTGTACCGGCTTACTTTTCTGTTGTAACCCAAGGCCTTAAATTTGTATAGGACTGACTCCATCTTATACAGAAGATGCTCGCTCTTGACAGACCCATGCTAAAGTGCCCGTGTTATTTCTACAGATTTTCTTAGCCAAATGTCTGGCCTGTTGTGGCATCAGGTGAAGAGTTCATCCCAGCTCGAGCATCATTTACATTCACCAAAGGGAATTCTGGGAATTCGGCGCTTGTCCCTGGTCCCCGCAGGTTCACCTGCCCATTAGCAGTGTTAAACTGAGATGATATTCCAGCTCTTGTTCCATGGTACTGAGCCCTGAACGGTTGCTCAAAGGAACTTATTTGATATGCTTGGTGGACAGGCTGTGCTTCTGCCTTCTTCTGAGAAGTAACTTGATCCAGAAAGTCCTGGGTAGAGGATGAGGAAGAATGATTTGGCTCGTCACCTGAAAAGGGAAAAGAGTGCTGGGAATCGCCAACGATAAGTCCAAAGTGAGACTTGTCTGGAGTTGTTCTTAATGGAGAGTTCATTCCTGATCGAAAACTGTTGACCGGTATAGATGCATAGACCTGCTTGTCTATAGAAGAGAACGCTGGTTGCCCTGCAAGAGTCTGGTTATCACTCACAAAATTAAGGCTTGGGTTGTTCAAATAGGCATCATTTTGGCTAGTTCTATCCAAAGCTTGCTGAAGAAACTTGGAATATTCCTGTAACATACTGGCTTTATCGGATGAGGAACCTTGAGAGCTTGTTGCAACATTCTCAGCTTGTGTGACTTCTGACACTTCGGAAGAATTGATTGATATACTAGAGGTCACTTCTGTATCAGCCACATTAAAAGCTATTTCATGCTGGCCATTAGCTTTATGGGAATAATGGTCTAAGAGAGTCTGAAGTACCTCATCTGGAATGACATTTTTGTCATGGTTGCCTTTAATCTCCACATTCAGCCCCGATGTATCCAGTATTGAGGCTGTGCTACCTTCATCTATGACACTGGCCACAGCAGCCTGTGTGACTGAAGGCTGAGAGGCAATGGTGCCTACATTCAAGGCATATTCTCTGCTATTACTATTAGCTGCTTGGAGATACCGCCTCTTCTTTAAAAATTGCATTGCATCATCATAGTTTGTGCTGCTGTGTACAGGTTTACTGGGGCCTTCCTGCAAAGTATCAACTTGGTCAATGTCAGCATTGCCTTCAGAGTCCAACAGGCCTTGTTTATCCACAAGATCAAAGGGATACTTAGAAACCTTGCTGTCTTCGTAAGATGCTAAAGATGACATGGTCTGATTTTGCTCTAGTGGCTGTTTTAGGTTCCTCTTACTGTTAACTTTTTTGAGCACCAGTTTAGGTGGGTGTATTTCTCCAGAATTTGCTTCCTGTAGGTGCCCTCCACTGACGGAAGAATGTGGTAACTCCACTGCATATTCAGCCACCATATACTCATCCTTGATCTTAGCGCTGCCAGCATACAAAGGCAAAAAATCATTCTTATCTTTCTTATGCTCAGATTTATCTGCCCCACTTTCTTTATCTAGCCCAGAAGACTTCAATTTCTCCGTTTTTTGCCTTTTCTTCTTTGGCAAAGAGCTGTCCTTCAAAGGCATTGGGAAGCCTTGATCATCATCAGAAGTCAAAAGGCCAATTTTGGTGGCACTTCTATTGGGTTTCTTGTCACGGTTTTCATGGCACATACGTTTGTGTTTCAACACCCGGTCAGTCCTTGAGAAGAACTGCAGAGGACATTTTTGGTTAGAGAAAAGCCATGCAGCCTTTTGGTCAATTAACATTTTTTCACATGATAAAGTCCTTCTAAGTCAGGGTGGGGGGCATTTTTCAGCCTAAGGGTCCTATTCTCTCATGGAGAATGCTCTGGGGTGGCATGGGCAAGGCCAGAGGCAAACAAGGGGGCACATCAATGGATGTGATTCTTAGCTTTCTATAGTAGGCCACATTCCAGCCACACAAAAAGTGGAAGTTTCCACACCTACCCACCCCACCATCCACGCAAGCAAGAGGCAATATCATAGTTCAGGGGCAAATTTCAGTCAGGCAAAAGCTCAAATATGGCTGATGTGGGGAGATGGTTGGTGAAGTAAGAGTCCTAAGGGAGAACTAGAGAGGCCTGAAGGGGACATATTTGGACCCAGAGCCTGAGGTTCCCCAACCCTGTCATAAGTGATTTTGGGAATTAAAAAATGGTCACATGTCACAAAGTGAAAACGTTACCATGTCAGAAGATGTGAGAGTCAATATTAATATTCAAACAAACCCAACCCTTTGTTCTTGATCTATAGGAGCCTACTGCAGTACATAAGGGCCCCTCCTGCCACTTCACATACCTGCAACTGTGGGAAAGGTAAGACAAAAGGACGGAAACCTAAATGACCCCTCCAATTAGCATTAATTTGTTTCAAAATATCTGTCCTTATTAATTCTGCATATTTTAGATAACTAAAAACTTAAGTTTCTCATTGGGTATATGTTCTTTTCATACTGGAGAGCATAATTTCTTTCATATATATCTATAAAATCAATTTTTTTAAAAAATTGCTTTTCATTAAATCCACAATGAAAACGTATGGTATTTAGAAGACAAGCCAAAGTGCCCTCTTACCTCAAAGTTTTGAAACTTGGAATCACAATTGTCACGATATTGTAAAAACAGATTCCCTTAAACACCCTTCTTTCTCCTTCTCAAATTACCTGCAAGCAGTATTCACACTGATAAGGCTTCTCTCCACTGTGAGTTCTCTTGTGCCTTTCCATATGATATTTCTGTATAAATCTCATGCCACATTCATCACATCGAAATGGTTTCTCACCTAAGAATAAAAATGAAAAGAGGAAGTACTGTTTAAGAAAAGAAGAAGAAGACAGATAGTCTCATACCTCTCCCCAGCATGCTATTATTTAGGTTTACTTAACAAAAAACTTACAAAGCATTGCTTTGATCAGCTGGATGTAAACAAAATATAGGTCTGACCACATATGGCTCATCACTACAAACATGTTAAAAGAATCACACAAATATTGAGTAGAGGTGGAAGAGAATCAAATAAAAAATAAACTAGCCCATCAAAAAAGAATGCCCCAACAATCATAACCATCAGAACTAGAGGAAAACAAATAAAACAATAAATTTCCATTTTCATTCCAGTATTTTATTCATTATTATTTATTGTATTATTAGCTCACCGTTTCCCCAAGGAGCTGATGTACACGGCTCTCTCACTCCTCATTTAATCAACAACCCTCAGAAGTAGGTTAATCTGAGAGCCAGTGAGGGGCCCAAGGTCACCCAGTGAGCTTTATGGTCAAGTGGGGATTTGATCCTTGGTCACCCAGGTTCTAGTCTAACACTGTAACACACTAGCCCCAATAAGTTGCCTGTATGTACTAGTAAAGGGGAAAAGACTGCATGTAAAAGCTCCTCATATTGACAAAAAGGTTGTGTTTATGAAGAGAATTAATTTTCTATGCCCTTATGATTAACTTGTCTCAATTTTTTCAGACCAGCCACAGGCATGTTCACATAAAGTGCTATTATTTAATATCACATTTTTTAGCATCCTTGTAACAAGATAAAATAACTAAAACTGGAATAGCTAGTTGCTGACTTATAGCAATAAATATCCTTTATTTAGTTAGCCTAAGGTGTATAACAGAATCATAGAATGGTAGAGTTGGAAGGGACCACAAGGGTCATGTAGTCGAAGCCCCTGCGATGCAGGAATCTTTTGCCCAACGTGGTCCCGAACCCATGACACTGAGATTAAGAGTCTTATGCTCTACCAAATGAGGTATCTGCTGGTTCCTTAGCCCTTCCCAGGGATAAAAGTATCATCTGGCTAGTGCACTGACAGATTTATACACAGTATACCATGGATCTCCCTGAACCTGCTTTCTACTCCTGGGTGAAAAGCAAATAGGAATCTTATGCACAGGTGAACCAGGTAAAAAGCTCGTACTGTGTAAAGAAATTAAGAATGGTCAAAGAATAAAAGACACAACAGAGGTAAAGCAACCCTAAAAAGATACAGTATATGCCAAAAGATAGACCTCATGTATTACTTTGTATTTGATTACTTGGTATTGCATTGCTTCGTATTCAAGGCAGCGATGAACTAGAGAATATTAAGGCTCCTCGCTTTTACAAAGACTAAAAAAAAGACTGAAAAGCTAAAAATAGCTAATTAAAATTCAGAGTTGAATCATTCTGACAAAATATTTATTTATAAAAGCAATGAATTTTTATAAAGACTCAGACTATTTGTTATTTAATATCATAGATGGTTCCATAATTTTGTTTCAAAGACAAGTAGCGCTTAATATTTGTTTTCCATGTTAATAAATAAAACAATATCATTTTTTATAATTTCCTTCCCCTTTCTTTTATCTATTTTTTTCCTTTTACACAAAACTGCTGTATTATCTTAGCTCATTGTATTAGTTTAATCCACTACACAGTTATGTTAAGATTCTTTGTATTGAAGCCAATTTGTCTCATTGACTTAATGACTAAGCTGACTTAAAGCCAAGCATTTCAGTTCCCTAGGGGATACAATTTTCTGTTGGAAAGTAAAAAAATAATGTTGTATCTTGTCCACCCTAGCCTCTGACTCAGTCTGAAGCAAAACTTCAAGTCTTCGCCCTGTCTTTCTTATCTCCTATACTATATATACTTAGAGTCACAACATTATATATTTCATGTTCTCAAACCTAACTGGCAAGCAGTACCACCCACACAGTTATAAAAAGATACATAGATCCAACTTACATATTAAATATATATATATATTTAAAAGTATGAAACATTAAACTGACAATTACTTTAGATGAAGTAGGTGTAGCCAAATGACACATAAGAAACATACTACCAAACTCATAGGCTCAGTTCAGACTAAAAATTAAACCATGGTTTATTTAGCTTATCTCTGGTTTGTCTGTGCATGGTTTCTTTAAGGTCAAGAAACTAGGATTGGTAATGTGGATTTTTTGTAATAGCTGAACTCAGTATTTTGGTTTCCCGTGTAACTCCATTCTTGCTGCCTGACTGAGTCAAGAGGGAAGAATTGCTCAAAAAAGAAATAGCTCACATAGCTAAGAGACTCTTACTACCACTTTAACAAACCTCTGTTTGGCTACAGGCTCCTTTGCTTGCCTACTAACCAAACAAGCTAGCCATCACAGCTCGGCTGCCTAACTGCAACAGCCCTGCAAGGGTGGCAGGTACACCAGTGCCACAAGTACCACACCCCAACAATCTTAATGAAATGTATGCAGAGCAGATGACCAAGCCAGTCCCCAGTCAATTCACATACATTCAGTGCATGCCTGTGGAACTAAGTATACAGAAGGCATTCTAGAAATATTATCCAATTTTTAAAGTGAAGTATGCAAAATTATTCTCAGAAAATGGTATATAGTGGAATATTTTCCAAAAACAGTTTTTTTGCACAAACTTTTCCATGGCTAAAACTGCATTGCTTCATAAAATTAGTAATATAACGAATAGATGTAATACCAGTCAAACTGGCAAGTTTATATTCTATTAATAATTGTGTAGTATAGTAAAGAAAGGTTTCGTAGATTATATATTAAAACAGTAATATTACTTCCAATATCTGATTTACTTCATTCCTGCCAATTTATTTTTTGCATTGTTTCTTAATGTATTATGGGTTGTACTCCAATAAGCCATGTTGTTTGTATATGGATTTCCACTTGTGCAACAGAACCTCTCCTCCCACTCCTTCTCCCGTGCCCCCCCTTATTTGTTTGGGGGTTCAATAAGTGCAAAATACACAGATGTCAATTGTGAAACAGGGTTATATTTTTTAAAATATATATATTTATTAGTCACTTTTTCAAAAATGAACTCAACATGACTTACAAAAATTAAAAACAGATATAAAAACCAAGAGTAAAAACAACCTAAAATTCAATAAAATGCATTTCTTTCTCTATGCAGAACATACCCAACAGCACATCATTTAAATAACTGAATGCAACAATACTGAAAGGCAGCAGCAGAAAGAAGCCCAGGTGTACAGAAAAGCACATGGCTTGGAAGAAACAGAAGTATAAGCAAAAGTGCAAATCCAAATACTAGTAAGGCTAGTTTGATGATAAGCACGGATACAAACATTCCAAGACAACCGGGGTATTTGTGCAATTTTCTGTCATGTTTTGTTTTCTCAAGGTTTACATGCATACACATAAAGTACCAGACATCAGCACCAGCAGTTTGAACAGATATGAAACCTTTCACCAAGCAACACTCAGCATATTTGCAAGCTCCACTTTTCTGAAATATAGACTGAAAATTGGCATCTAGTCCAAAAAAGACTATATTTCTAAATATTTGCAGAGATAATGAAAGGCCATGCACCAAAATGCCAAAAACCCAGTAAAGCCAAGTCTTTTTACAGAATGTGGTTTTCCAGAAGTAAAATTTTAAAACAAACCAATATAAACTTAACTATCCTGCTTTAACTTTGGGTCTCATTTTTTCTATTTGTCTTTTGCTGAAACGCTTACTCTTGTATAATTTTCTGTATGCTTTTTTTTTTTTAACAGGGTTCAGATACCTATGGGGTCAGGCATTTTGGCCATAATTGTGTTCGAAGTATTCCTATTTACCACTTACCCAATAAAAATATTTTTCTCTCTCAAGGTTTGCTCACATCAGCTGTCAGTAACTTCTTGGGGGCAAGGGAGGAAAGAGGCAAGGCTAAAGCAAACACCTAAATTCTTTTCTAGAGTTTCTTGAACGGCACGTTAAAACAGAAGCTGCATAATCACCCAATACTTGGCCATGTTTCGGAAACAGGTCTTTAAACACACCAGTAAAAAGAAACTCAAGGCACTATACTCACCAGTATGAATCTTCTCATGTCTCTGTAGCAGGTACTTCTGAATGAAACGCATCTCGCACTGACTGCACTGAAATGGTTTTTCACCTTAAACAATATAATTCCACATCTGTAAGTTAAAAGCTACAAACATTTGTTTCTAACAGATTCTGCTGAGAAATAAAATAGTCGGCTATTGGAATCCAACATATGAATGAATTCCAAAATATTTTAGTATAAAAAAGTCTGACTAAACTACCTGGGCTAAAAAGAAAAAGGCTATTAATTCGGCAAGCCTGCTGCTAACAGAGGAGTGCAGCTCATGAGCAAAATCAGGCAGGATGCTGTCATCTAAGGTACTGTAAAACTCTTTCATCTATTCCAACTAGAGTTCCATCACTGGTAAAATAAGAACCCAGAGACTATGCTATGAACAAGACAAAACTGGAAATTGGGTGACTTACCAACCCATCCTTGTACAGAAAGCAAAGCAACACAGTAAATCTCAAATTAACAGAAATGCAATTCTTTTCTGGTATTTTTTGACACTTTGGTGCATGGAATACCTAAGCTTAGATGCCACATTTCCTGCACTTTGGAATATAAAGTTTGCATCATTTTTCATAATTCAGTGCATTATTAAAGATCCAACCATTTTTAGATAATATAAAATACAACTTAAATTCAAGCAGTACCTGTATGAATGAAGACATGCCTTTGTAAATGGTAGTTGGTTCTAAAGGCAGCATGACAATGCTCACAAATGTGAGATTTGGTAGTTTTCAGACCAAGTGATCCATCCTCATTTATTGTAAGGATCTATTTTTAAAAGGGCAAAATTCAGTCTCACATTAATTTCTCAACAATATTACAAGATTCATATGAATACATAATGGAGGAAATCAAGCGCTTTTAGGCAAAACCACAATGCAAAATAGGAAGACTGTAGACATAGATATCAATTGACTATCTTTTAGTTGACCTAACTGAACCTTAGCTTTTCTAGATTTGTGATATATAATACACATAATACATCCAAAGAAGTGCTAGAACAGGCTCCCTCAACCTCGGCCCTCCAGATGTTTTTGGCTACAACTCCCATGATCCCTAGCTAGCAGGACCAGTAGTCAGGGATGATGGGAATTGTAGTCTCAAAACATCTGGAGGGCTGAAGTTGAGGAAGCCTGTGCTAGAAATTTATTCTCAGTAGAGCAAGTCAGAATATTTTTGATCATGTTTGGTTGTCACTCAAAATACGGCTAACTGTGACATGAGCAAGCCTATCCTCCCAGGTTTGCCTGTGTCCCCATCTTTCTCTAACATGGCAGACAGGACGGGTTCAGAAACTTTATTTCTGCTCTTAGTTAACTGCACCTTCCTGTGTCATCAGACCACAAATTGTGGTTTCACACTAAATATGGCAGATTTCAGAACTAGCTGATTTCAAACCATGGATTATGAAGTTGGCTGGTCCCAAAACTAACCATTGTTTCAGTTACCATATGTTAAAACCACATATTCCAATTCGGACAACATAGGAAGCTGCAGTTAACGAAAGGCTGAAGTAGAAGTTTCTACATTTAGCTATTCAGCAGGAGAAGAGGGGAGGGAGCATGCAAGCCTGAGAGTGGATGACATTCGCTCCCATCATGCTAAACCATTGGTGTACAAACAGGACCACTATCTTCTCAAATGGTAGCACTATAAATCAGTCTTTAATCTACTAGTTGGGCAAGAAAAGAAAGCTATAAAATCTAGAGACACTCATGTTATATCCATTTTATTTCTCAAGACATGGAGTACATCCAGCAACTGGAATTCTTTTTTTGTACAAGAGTACTGGTGACAGGACTTGTAGTTTGGTAATATTACTTACATGTGTTAGTGAAATGATAATTGTGTACTTTATCTCTTCCATCTCAGCAGAAGGTTAAGGATAACCTTAATATTTTTCAGTCTTAATAACCCATTACAACAGCCCTATTTGCATATCATGCTAAGTCAAAACCATGGCTCATCAATAACAGAAAATCTTATGTCACTCCTCCCTGGTCATTTTTTTATTGCATCACACTGAGCTAAACTATAGTTTATCTTAGTGTGCAGTCCAAATCCAGGGGTGTGGCTCAGGTCTCTGCAGACTAACTATGAGCTGTAGCCAAGGCTTGTTCTATAGGTTATAGTTCAGTATTTGTCTGGGAGAAGTAAACCATGAGCCCGGCTTTAGACAACATGCTAAGCCCACCTATGGCTTAGGTCTGGGTGGCACAGCAGCAAAATGATCAGGGAGAAGCAAAGCAGATACAATCTCCTCTCCTGGAGCCCACAGGCTCGCACATTTGTGCTAAGCTAAACACTGTGACATGAACAAAGCCAACACATAACACTGTTAAAGCATGTTTCAGTAGTATGTTGTGACTTTTAATAAATCTGTTCTGTACAATTATGCATCTAAAATTCTAAAGATAAACAATTCGTAGCTACTTTAAATGTTCCCATGGGCTTTTTTACCCACCCCACGGCTATATCACAAGCTGCTTTTGTTCCCTCCATTTTAACAGCAAAGAACTGCTGTTCAAGAAGCACAAGCCTAAAGCCCCCTTGGGTACATTAAATTGGTGCAGTTCTTCAGAGTTTGTTCTAAGTGAGTGTAATCCTTTTAAAGGTGTCCCTGCAAATGATTCTTTGCATGGAAGAAAGCCCATCTTTCTTCAGGTATCCCTAATCAGTAAGATTCAGAAACAGCAGCAAAAAACACTTGTCTTGATAGATCCTGTTGGTTCTAGGGTATTTGGGTGCCTTATACAATTGGCATTCACCATCATGCGCCTTGCGGGGGAGGGGGGACACAGTTGCTAAACGAGTTATAGTAGGTTGGTTTTACTTTCTTTTCACAGAAAAGAAAATACACCATTAATTATACTTGCTTCCAAAAGAAATATTGCCTTTCTTGATATGCAGCTATGAACTTGACTTATACCTAGTACTGCACATTCAAACACTTAAGATTGGGCCCTTCTAATACTTCATTTCCTCAGGGGAGTGTATATAATGTGCATGCTCTAGGTAGCTATAGTCTTCAAAGTCGATACTAGAAAATGACCCTCCAGTACCCAACCTGCTCTCAATCTCTCTGGTCAATTTGTGATCTCTTACTATACAATATTAGGAAGACTTGAAGGACAACCTCTACAATGAAATAAAGGAAAAACGGGGTTCTCAAACTATGACTGAGACAAGTACATGAAAATAGCTTCCAATCAGTGCTTCCCATTAGTTTTCACCAAACTTCAGGAATTGCAAATGAAAACAAGAATACTGCAGTGGGCAAGTACTCAGTTTGAATTTGCAAGTGTCAATTGTACAGCAGGAAGCTGAATAAAATTATATTCAAATGCTTCATATTTTATGCTTCAAAATCCATGCATAGCATTTTTGCTGCACTTCCTGAGAGGAAATTTAAGATGTGCAACTCTGAAAACTGAACTTTAGATTAAAATGGCTCAATTGAAATTAGAAGCCTGTGAATGGAAGGCATTCATTTAATTTCAGGTGCATGCAGTAATCAATTTCAACACTTGTGCACCTGTCTGATTAAAAACAAAGTTGTTAGAAAAACACTATGATATTTAAATAAGCCCAATATTATTATTAATCTAAACAGTCTCCGTAATTGATAAGTGGTCCTTAAAACTACACACTCATCAAAAGATAATATTTAGAGAAGGAGATGCCTGGGAAACAGATGTTAAAGTATGTCAAATATTCATGCTGTGAAAAGAATTTCAAAGAAACAAGCTATGAATATATTGTGGCTTGGCTTTGCGATTAAAGTTAGGTGGCTGAATCTATGGTTTCCAAATACTATCATTTCCAATGGCGAATCCAAGGAAAATCTCCAGTTGCCTTCAAGGTTCAAATTAAATGTCTTACCTTTGCTGGTGAACGCTGTTTCCTTTTCTTCTTCTTTTGCATATCTAAACCCTCTCGTATTAGCTTTTTGTCCCTTTTCTGCTGCTCTGCTACATCAGTAAATGTAATTTCTTGTTTCACGCTGATCTGCTAGGATACGAAGTGCCAGCATCAGATAATATTAATTACATATGACACATTTAATTACATATAAGACACATTTTAACAAATTCTTTCAAAATAGTAATACATCTGGAATTACTTTATACCCTTCGTACTGTTTTGGGGAAGAGGGGGAAAGGCTATTTTAAAAAGTCCTATTTGTGGCGAGTATTCCAATATGGTACTCCTTTCATACCTTCAAGCACAGAAGCTTGGATTACATGCCACATATAATTTAACATTTAACAAAGAAATTTCACCTGACAAAAAAAACCCTTTATAATTTAAGATATGGTTATGTTGGCATTTGAACCACAGTTTCACTGTTCTAAGCCAAACCCTCATTTTTGCCAAAGAGCTACTATGATAATTTCAACCCTTCTTTTAAATTCTGGTCTCTTCCTGCTGTGAATCAAACATTCATTTCTGCCAGTAGAACAGAAAGCTACCATGATGATATCAAACCTATTTGAAGGGGCCATCCTTCAAAGGGGCATGTGGATGAGGAATCAGGAACCTTTCCCTACCCCAAAGCTTACTTCCCTGCTTCCCTTCAAACAGTTTTCTCCCAGGCAAGATCACAGGGTCAGCTAGAAACAAAAGCTCTTGGAGCAGGACAGTGTACCACAAGTATCCTGCATATGCTGTGAAAGTCAGACACCCACCTAACCCCCTTGTTTTTTGTTACTAGAGCTGTTCCATGTTCAAACACAGGCAGCTTCTGTCACCTCAGTTTTCTCCCCTAAGGTTGCGAACTGTACTTTCAGCAACAAGATTCTGTTATAGAATCAGACCAAAAAAACAAACAGCTGATGTAAACCGAGTTGCCGATTGATTTTCAAGGCTTGAAAGTCTTCCACTACAGTGAGAATTTATTATTTTATTCTGTTAACAGTTTGAAAGAATCTCATTATTTTCTAAAGTTCCTGTTACTTTCTTACAACAAAGCACCATCAATGTAAAACCGTATTTTAACCCAGCTGAAATCTAAGAAGCTATTCCTCACACACACAGAATTAACTGTGTGAACTCCACTGCTTTTCAATTCACATCATTAAATACCAATACTATACTGTGTTAGAAGTGCAGGAACCACAACAACATACTACTTCTTTGAATATAGAGAAGCATTTTCAAGTCCTTATCTCCTGTGCAGGAAGAATGCAGACACTTAAAAGTCAAATGAGCACTGTCTATGTAAGATATATACAGTGGTGCCTCGCAAGACGAAAAGAATTCGTTCCGCGAGTCTTTTCGTCTTGCGATGTTTTTCGTCTTGCGAAGCACAGTCCGTTGCAACTGCGCCTCTTCAAGCGGCTTTAAAAAAAAAAGCGCAAGACGTTTTCGTCTTGCGAAGCAAGCCCATAGGGAAATTCATCTAGTGAAGCAATGCAAAACCGAAAAACCCTTTTGTCTAGCGAGTTTTTCGTCTTGCGAGGCATTCGTCTTGCGGGGCACCACTGTATTTAAAAAGTGTGTAAAATGTGCATTAAAACATGAGAACGTGTTACTAAATAAACAGTGGTTGGTTCACAGCATCAAAGATTCCCAAGATTTTTAGAAAGGTTAATATTGTTATCCAAAAGCAGTCTTTCTTTGCGCATAACTCCCCCACCCATGCTGATTGCAAATACATCTATTATGACTATACTGTTTTTTACAGAGGAAGAATTAATGGAACCAGGGGCTTATAATTTAGCCATGGGCTCTATTCCTAGCCCACACTGTAAGTCAATATCTTATTACCTCCTTAACTGTGCAAACAGCACCAGAGATAAAAACAAGCCATGGGATTTATAGCATTTTGTTGTTCTTGTTAAAAAACACACACACAAAAACCTCCAATTGTTTTTTCTCAGAGTAATGAACTACTTTTATTTTAGTTTTCATTTGGTTGTTCCTGCCATACTTTTTTTTTTTTAAGCAGACCTTTTGATATGATTTGCTCAACTTTTAAGTGCAAGCCGTGCTAAATAAATTGCTTACAGGGACATTGACTGCATACTGAAGCCCTTGAGGAAGCCTGTCTTGCCCCTCCATCTCATCATCATTTTTCACCGTCTCTTCGTGGACCATGAGTTCATCATGTGGGATCATTTCTTGCTGTCGAAGTTCACTTTCCTGTAGCACTTCTTCTGCAGAAAGGATTTCCTGGTGCGCCATAGCCCGGTCTTGAAGCACTGCTTCCTGCCGTTCCACAGGAACTGCCGACTGGTCAGATGCAGCACCCATTCCAACCATATCCCTGGATGACTGCATTGGCTCTATGCTACCACATTTAAGAAACAATCGTCCCAGCTTATCTTCAATGTTCATTCTTAAGTGCAATTAACCTGCAAATACAAAAACAAAAAACAAAACTCAATTAGCAGAGTATTTACCATTTATTTCATTTTTGTTACATAAGTAGACAGTTACACCTCAAAAAAGGCAAACAGAACAAGAAAAACGATTTTTAAAGAATGATACAATAAAAGAAAAAAGTAAACAATACAATAGAGCTAATAGGCAGAGTGTTTAAAAACACAGCCCCACACTCAAGCTTCACTGACAATATCTGGGTATTTATGGATACATACATGGGAAATGTAAGGCATGTTGATGAACACTTTTACTATTTTTATGGGTTATTTGTGTTTTTTGTGATACTTTGTTCTATAATTTTAAAGGTACTGTGAGTCACTCTAACTTGTTTGTAAAAAAAACACGAATCACCATCTGAATACAGGGTCTTTGTAAATCTCTCCCTAGAAAAAGGATAAGAAGTGCATCCCTCAACAAATACATGCCAACTACTCATAAAGTCTCAAAATCTGACACTTTTTGCAAAAAGATTCCAAACTGGGAATAGAATTTTAGAGTGCAAAAGATTTACTGCTTCCTTAGGTTTGAATCTGGAGCAGTTCAGGTAGAAAAAACAGATTTATGCTTGCAAGATGGATGCACCATTTAATTTTTTTAGCTAGAAACTTTCCAAACTGCACCTTGATTCAAAACATGGGGCAGTAGCTAACAAGGAGCTTCTGCTGGTGCAAGGACTTTTGGTTGCACACTGAAACTTCCCTTTCCTCTCCTCTTCCATGCCTCCAAGGACAAACATAGCATAAGAATGTAAGGGAGAGTTCTGCTGGGTCACACTCAAGGCCTAGTTACTCTGGCATTCTGTTCTCACAGCAGTCAACCTGATGCCTATGGAAAGTCCACAAGGAGGATATGGAGTCTCACTGGGTGAGTAGAAGTCCACTTAGATTTTTTTTTTCATTTGTGGGAGAGGGATGTGTTTTTGTGACCAACATAACATGCTAAACAAACCTTTATCATCCTTAACTCATCTGATTTTATTCCTAACAAAATTTCTTCTCAATTTACCAAATGAGACAAACTGTCAATAAAGGATCATTACATTATTGTCTGTTTTCTTGGATAGATCTTTAAATGAAGATTAGATAGATAAAAATAGATAAGTTCTGAATCAGCTTGCATGTCAAACTTCTCATATGTAAAATCTGTTCTACACATGTGTAACATGCTATTTTGAAAAACCATTGCCAGATAATTAAACTTTGGAAAATTATCTTTAAAATGATGCATACGTTAACTATATATGGAAAATGAGTCTGTAGATTGACATTTTTGTGAAATTGCCCCTTCCTGAATCAGTCATAGGCTGAAAAAATATGCCTTGCTGCCGTTCAATTACTTTAATTATTAAAGGACTAGACAGGCAATGAGACAATTGCACTTAAATACATTTCTGAAAAATGTCACTACATACTAACCATTTCCTTGGCCCTAGCAGTTTTTAAGAATACTGGGTTAGGCAGAGACCTTCATGCAGAATGTGCTGCTAATTTAAGCACTAACTCACCTCCCTATCACCACAAGCCTGGTCAGAAACTTCATGAAACTCTAGTAAAGCGTTCATCAACGCCAAGTCTGAGAAGTCAGGCATTGTCTCTGTTTATGGATACTGCCAGTGCTTATGCAGGCCTATCCAAGATGGCTACTAGTGTACACCAGCACCTTATGCTTGACTACACACATGGTGGAAATCAAGAAAGCAACTATATTTCCCAGCAATAATTTACAGCGATGTTCTTGCAAGAAAGGCACATTCAGATGGCAAAGGCAAGACCACACAATTCAAACTGGAATTGATTTTTAAAAAAAACATTATTGCGGGCCCCTCAAATTTATTTATATATTTAAAAGATGAAAGATAAAGATAGCTGAAGGCACCATTAAAAAGTGATAGGCAAATTATTTAGATAAGGGGGAAAAACAGCTTTGTTTAAAGAGACATTTCACTGAAAATTTAAAAATAATGGAATTCTGCAATAGGTCAGCCAGAAAATTGGATTGTATCTACAAAAGGAAGCATTTCCAAAACAAACTGACCCTTGACAAAATGCATGATATTATACACCATGTACTAGCTCTGGTAGGTTAATATGCTCCCTGGAACAAAATAGTGGCTCTTAAAAAAAGACTTCTCCCTCCTTCTCAAAAACTATATATAACTTACTTAAGTAATCCTGCAGTTTAGTATTTTCTAAAAATATTATCACTTTTTTTTTAGAACATGCATGCTCATCAATTCAGCAACTGTCCCAAATTCTTTAAATCCTGTATCAGTCTCACAAACAGAATAGTTACATACTTTTTTTAAAAAAAACCCAGTATATTTCACTAGGTCTTGATAGGTAGTAGAAAGGATGGAATCCAATTTGATATATTTTCCTTACCATAAAAAAAATATTTAAAAAACCTGTGGAAAATGCAATGAATATTTTTCTCCTGTCCTAAGTAGTCATGCTGCTGCCTGCAAATTGACCCATGGTGCTTGCATAGTTTCAAGCTCTGCTATACTGATCAAGTCTACTGCACTGCATCTAGTTGCAATGTATCTCACACCATTTTTTACAATGAATTCTGGCTATTTATGGAAAATATAAAAGCCATTAGATTCAATTCAAAAGCTACAGATATATGAGTGTTTTGAAAGTCACATATCAAAAGATTTTCCAGTATCCATTTAAGATCATGTTGATGATTCTACAAAAGGAAAGGAAGCAGGAAGTACCAGGAGAAATTGATATTTTGTACAACCACGGAACTGAAAACATCAAAGAAAATGATTTATAGTGCTGAAGCATAATCATTGGCCCTTGACCTATTGAGACATAAGGTTGTGTCCAATTTTGTCCCTCTGTTGATGGAGGGCTCCTTGATCCAGCAGAGATTCCATGAGGGCAAGTGATTTTAGAAATTTCCCCCTTTCTTCTGCAGATTTCCAGCGGAGGGTAAGGGATACTACAGATGGAGAGTGGCAAATCAGCTCTTAGCAGCTCCACTGGAACAAAGAGCCTTCAATCAGCAGAGGAGCACAATTGGATACAACCCATTAGGGAATTGTCATTGACAGTGAGGAGCCCAAGTGGTGCCTCTCTGGGTGTTTCTTAAGACATGCTGTATTTTTCTCTGCTTTTAAAAAGTGAATTGGTTTCACCGAAGTGTTATTTTATTGTGACCTCCCCTGTGAGGAAGAATGAGCTAGAAATTATCTTATGAATAAATCAGATACATAATTAAAAGTAATTCAGACACACATATATACTGCAGGGCAAGATGACTCTCATCACCCAGTCCTAGATTCAACGTGAATACACAGGTTTTGTATGTGTATGTCCTCAACTTGTTATTATGAATGGTTGAAGGACCAAACACTTCAGACCAAACTGGTAACCAGAGTACCAAACAATGCAAAGGAGACCAGCCTGTCCTGTTCCAGTTTGGGCAAAGATCTACAAAGCAACAAATTAGGTTACAAGGCAAGAAATAATTCTTTACCACTAGATCTGATTCTATAAAAGTAATGTTCAGATTAATAATAGCCCCAAACAGAAACATTGTCAGGAATGATCAATTCTAGACTGCCAGTACAATGAAACAATATAGCAGGCCACTTATCTGACAAGGTTTTAAGAATCACAGAGATATCATAGCTCAGCAACAGCAGCACAAGCCTTGCAGGGAGAAGGTCCCAGGCTCAGTCGTTATCTGTTAAAAATGGATCTTGGCTGGGAAAAGTCTCACCGCGCAACCTTGAAGAGCTGTTGTCAGACAGAATATATACCATAGGGCAAGATGGTTGGATTTGTTATAAGATGGTTTCATATCTTCATGTGATCCTCATCACCCAGTTTTGAGAATGTGAGATTTTTCTGAAGGATTGGCACTGCTAGGCAAGATGCCTCCATTCTGAAGGAAATCAGCCCTGAGTGCTCACTGAAAGAACAGATCCTGAAGCTGAGGCTCCAATACTCTGGCCACCTCATGAGAAGAGAAGACTTTCTGGAAAAGATCCTGATGTTGGGAAAGATTGAGGACACAAGGAGAAGGGGATGACAGAGGACGAGTGTTCTCGAAGCTACTAACATGAGTTTGACCAAACTGCAGGAGGCAGTGGAAGACAGGAGTGCCTGGCGTGCTCTGGTCCATGGGGTCACGAAGAGTCAGACACGACTAAACGACGACAAGAACAACAACAAGGCAAGAGGCCCTAATGTTCTGACTCAGCATAAGACAGCTGCATATACAGTCATGTAACTGCGTCATTATCCAGTGCTGGATGAGTATACGTAGCGTCATATCAATAATTGCTTACGATACTGCCATATCATTATCCACCACAGATGATAACAAAAACCTCTGCCCCAGCCACAGAATCTAAATGCATCAGTACACATTACTACTCTAGTTTTGTCCAGCGCCTTTTTAAAAGAAGAAAAAAAGATGTTGGTACTCACCATGAAGTTGTTACAGTAAGTGCCACACTTTTAACGGGGGGGGGGGGGCTGCTAGTACTGCATACCCTTGAGTACCCCCAGAAAAAAAGCACTGGTCTTGTCTTTCATGCAAAAAGCCTGTTCACATCTTTTGCAAGTGAATCCAGTTGTATAGCCTTTCACAGCAATGGTAAACGTACTGCCCAAGTATAAAAATTTCTGCTCTGAGCTGGGACATAACTCCCTGTCTTGTTCAAAAACCCAAGAGCTAATAGCAGGCAGGAAAATTTTCTCTTATTACATCATTCCTACTGGCCAAAACATAAATGCATATGTTTGTTTTTTCAAAACAAAACATATATTTGTTTATATGTTTTACTCATTACTACTTTATTTATTGTTATTGTTATTAGAATTTATATACCACCCTATACCCAGAGGTATACCAGCCAGATTTTCCCCCTCCCTTTCCTCCAATAATATGCAGCAGTAATATGCCTAATAGGTTATTGGGAGTCTCCATCTGACGCTATAATTCCTTCTAT